TTGAAAAGACAATAATCAACTCTATATGGAAAAACAAAAAACCCAGGATAGCCAAAACAATCTTATACAATAAAGGATCGTCTGGAGGTATTACCATCCCTGACTTCAAACTCTATTACAGAGCTACAGTGTTGAAAACAGCTTGGTATTGCATAAAAACAGAGAAGTCGACCAATGGAATTGAATAGAAGACCCTGACTTTAACCCACAAACCTATGAACACCTGATTTTCTATAAAGGAGCTAAAAGTATACATTGGAAAAAAGAGAACATCTTCAACAAATTGTGCTGGCAAAACTGGATGTCAATCTGTAGAAGAATGAAAATAGATTCATATCTATCACCACGCACAAAACTCAAGTCCAAATGGATTAAAGACCTCAATATCAGTCCGAACACACTGAACCTGATAGAAGAGAAAGTGGGAAGTACTCTGCAACACATGGGCACAGGAGACCACTTCCTATATAGAACCCCAGCAGCACAGACATTAAGGGCATCATTGAATAAATGGGACCTCCTGAGACTGAGAAGCTTCTGTAAAGCAAAGGACACTGTCACTGAGACAAAAAGGCAACCCACTGACTGGGAGAAGATCTTTACCAACCCCGCAACTGACAAAGATCTGATCTCCAAAATATATAAAGAACTCAAGAAACTAGACTGTAAAAGGCTAATCAACCCAATTATAAAATGGGGCACTGAGCTAAACAGAGAATTCTCAAAAGAAGAAGTTCAAATGGCCAAAGGACATTTAAGGTCATGCTCAACTTCCTTAGCCATCAGGGAAATGCAAATCAAGACAACTTTAAGATACCATCTTACACCTGTCAGAATGGCGAAAATCAAAAACACCTTTGCTGGAGAGGTTGTGTAGAAAGGGGTACACTCATCCATTGCTGGTGGGAAATCAAACTTGTGCAACCACTTTGGAAAGCAGTGTGGCGGTTTCTCAGGAAATTCGGGATCAACCTACCCCTGGACCCAGCAATACCACTCTTGGGAATATACCCAAGAGATGCCCTATCATACAACAAAAGTATATGCTCAACTATGTTCATAGCAGCATTGTTTGTAATAGCCAGATCCTGGAAACAACCTAGATGCCCTTCAATGGAAGAATGGATAAAGAAAGTATGGAATATATACATATTAGAGTACTACTCAGCAGTAAAAAACAAGGACTTCTTGAATTTTGCATGCAAATGGACGGAAATAGAAAACACTATCCTGAGTGAGGTAAGCCAGACCCAAAAAGAGGAACATGGGATGTACTCACTCATATTTGGTTTCTAGCCATAAATAAAGGACATTGAGCCTATAATTAGTGATCCTAGAGAAGCTACATAAGAAGGTAAACCCAAAGAAAAACATATAGTCATCCTCCTGGATATTAACCTTCATCAGGCAATGAAAGGAGACAGAGACTGAGTCCCACATTGGAGCACCAGACTGACATCTCAAGGTCCAAATCAGGAGCAGAAGGAGAGAGAGCACGAGCAAGGAACTCAGGACCGGGAGGGGTGCACCCACACACTGAGACAATGGGGATGTTCTACTGGGAACTCACCAAGGCCAGCTGGCCTGGGTCTCAAAAGCATGGGATAAATCCGGACTCGCTGAACATAGCTGACAATGAGGACTACTGAGAAGTCAAGAACAATGGCAATGGGTTTTTGATCCTACTGCACATACTGGCTTTGTGGGAGCCTAGGCTGTTTGGATGTTTACCTTACTAGACCTGGAAGGAGGCGGGAGGTCCTTGGACTCCCCACAGGGCAGGGAACCTGGTCTGCTCTTTGGGCTCATGAGAGAGGGGGAGTTAATTGGGGAAGGGGGAGGGATATGGGAGGCGGTGGTGGGGAAGAGACAAAAATCTTAAATAAATAAATAAATAAATAAATAATAAAAAAAGAAACAAGAACAAAGACAGCCTGGTTATTATCAGCTGACATGCCTTTCTTGCTAGGATGGATTGATAATCAAAGGTGATGATTAATTCCTTGTACCCATTTCTGCCCTCAGCTTCCTCACATAAAACTACTGATAAGCCTCAAGGAATGCACCTGAGGATTTAAAGTAGAGATGACCGATTTTCATATATAAAAGTTTAAATTTGAGATTCTCAAGATTTTTATAAGATTACTTTTTAAGATAAATAATAAAGTGATTGCTCCTTTCTTTGAACTACAAAATGCAGCCTGCTAGTAAAAGAACTGGCTGAGAAAAACATCTTACTTATACAACACTCTTCTAATCCATAACAAGTTGCTTGAACATGAATCTATGTGGGTTCTTGGAGATAATTTGTTTTTCACCTATATTATGTAAAATGTTTAATCATGTAAAGGATATGAAAAGCGTGTTGCTTTTTCCTTGTATTCATTGCAATCATTAACTTAAAAATAGACTGTAACCACACTGTACTTTTTATCCTGTTTGAAAGATATTGCTGGGGTATAATAGTTATGAGGAAAAAATAAAGTTAGAAGGAAGGCACCTAGAGAGACAGAAAGGATACATCTGAATAGAGGTAAGAAAAGAAATAAAGGGGCTGGAGAGATGGCTCAGTGGTTAAGAGCACTGACTGCTCTTCCAGAGGATCCGGGTTCAATTCCCAGCACCCACATGGCAGCTCACAACTGTCTGAAGATCCAGTTCCAGGGGATCTGACTCTTCTCACCAATGCACATAAAATTAAAAAAAAAAGAAAAGAAATAAAGAAGAAAGGAGATGATAAAGAAACCCTAAAGCTGTGTGTGTTTTCCCTTTTTCACTGGCCCAAGAGAGTTAAGTTTTACTCCCTCAGGTAGAACAGTCAAATTGAGTTATTAGTTCACCGACTGTACATTCCCCCCGAATCTCCAAACTGCATTCCCCCCAAACTCCAAACTACTGAAGGCTGGCCCTCACGGTAGCAATATCTCGGGTTTTGCTTGTGTGTGTGTGTGTGTGTGTGTGTGTGTGTGTGTGTGTGTGTGTATGTCTGCGCGTGCATGTGCCCTCCTATTGATTTCTGGCCTACACAACACAGATCTGTCCCCTGTGATGTTTCTCTGGGTTGAGGTTATTCTCCAGTGAAAGAATTAGCTGCAGCTATTTGAGATCTTTTCCCACATCCTGGATTCCCCCATCTCTTACTTCCTTGTTTTATCTGTATAGCAGGAACTGTGAGTGTGAGGGCCTGTGCCAGTCTCCAGGAGATCATGATTCCTCTTGGCCTCCATTCATACTCACAAACACAGTGTGGGCAACTTCTGATCTCCTGCAGGTCCTGCAGCTGTTGGACCATTTGGATCTTGCATCTGTTTTGGAAGTGGCTCCTCTGTTAGTTTTTTATGGGGGATTTTAGAAACATAATTTGATTTTGACTTTTTTTTTTTGATTTTTTCGAGACAGGGTTTCTCCGTAGCTTTTGGTTCCTGTCCTGGAACTAGCTCTTGTAGACCAGGCTGGCCTCGAACTCACAGAGATCCGCCTACCTCTGCCTCCCGAGTGCTGGGATTAAAGGCGTGCGCCACCACCGCCCGATTTTGACTTTTAAACCAGTCAGGGAGTTTCTGTCTCTTGAGAAGGAAATCAAGATGGTTTGTGTCCTTGATATCATACCTTAAGTTATATTTATAGTCACTGTTCCTTTTGTCAATAGTTTTGATATTTCCCCTTTGTCCAGATTCCTGTTTTTCAAATTTGTCTCTTTAGGCAGGACCAGATAGTTCTAGGTGTACTCATCTCTTATTCCCATCCGATGCCATCAACTTCCATGTATTGGAATTGCCTTTTCCTGTTTGTCTATGAGTTCTCCATCTTTCTGAATACAGTGGTTCAAGTCATTTTCTCTAGAGACATCACAGAGTACGTGTGAGGATGAGTGAGGCTCTGGGTTCAGCCCACAGCTCCTTGCTGATGGACATCTCCTAAAGTATACTCTGTTTTTCTATCCTCCCTATTTCAGACTTAATACCGTGATGTTTTCCATTCTGCTCCTCTTCCTGCTAAAGTGAGACATCATTTTCACGAGGCTGATATCTGTATAGCATGACGGATGTCATTATAAGTGTGCCGCTCAGTGTCGTCACATACTGTAGAGTGTTGTATGGTCATCACCGTCCGCTTCCAGCATCTCTTACAAAATTCCACATTACCCGCCCCTTTCTAGCCATGGCAACCTCTTCTAAGAATCTGCTCATTCTAAGTACCTTGGATATCTGGAATCATAAATATTGCTGTTTTTATCTTGCATATTCCACTTATAGTAATATCTTTAAGGCTCGTCCATGTTGAAGTGTGTATGAGAATTTCACTCCCTTTCGAGGCTAAATGGTGCTCTGATGTCTGTTGCCGGACACTGCTCCCCCACTCACCTGTGGCTCTCTTCCCTGTGGACTATGGCCAGAATGCAGCTGTGCACACTGGTTTGGAACATCTGCTTGAGCTCCTCATTTCAGTTCTTTGACATGTATACTTAGAATTTCTGGGTCATATAATTCCATAGTTAATATTTGGGGAACATCTTTACAGTGTATGGCACCTACATTTGGAGATCAGAGAACAACCTTGGATGTTTTTCCCGAGGTGCCTTCCACCTTTTTGTGTGAGACAGGATCTTTTACTGACCTGGAATCTTAACACATTGGCCTGGCTAGTTAGCCTGCAAGTGTCCAGGGGGCTCTTGCCTCCTGTCTTGACACCACTGAGCATATAGATGTGTTATAGCCGTGCCTGGCTTCTTATGTGGGTTCTGGCAACTCAAACTCAGGTCCTTATAATTGCGAGGCAAACACTTTACCGACTGAGTCACCATCCCAGCCTTTCCCACACTGACAATTGTCTCACTTGTTTTTCCTTTTCTCCTTCCTTCCGCCCTCCCTCCCTCTTTCTTTCTTTTCTTTCTTCCTCTCTTGCTTGCTAAGTTACAGGAATTCTTTACATATTCTCATATATTAAACATTAAAATATGTGATTTCAAAAATAAAATGTCCTCCAATTTCTTAATCTAGAGAAAGGAAGATCTTTTCTAGAAAGATATCGAATGATGATGGAGAATTTATTAATCCAAGCTTACCTCCTCCTTCTGTTCAAAACTCAGAACCCAAACCAGACACTGATGTTAATGTGGTAAGATGCACCTTAGAGACATTAACATAAATTTTGATATAAGATGGATAGCAAGTTTCTGAATTAAAAACTCAATAATTGTTTGTTACACACACGCACACATGCACACACATGTGCATTCTTCTATCATTGTAAAAAGCTGGAATAATGCTTATCCCAAATTTTCCACTGTTGTTAATTCATATTTTACTTATTTGCTATTTGACATGTAAATATAGTTATAATTTATAGTACTACGTAAACTCTATTATCACAATGTAAATGCCCTACTATATTTTGTTCTTGTCTTGTGGGCATATTTGCTAAATTAGATTTTAAACAGAGGGAAAGTGGAGATGGACTTGAAAAGAACATATGCACCAATATTTGAAGTAAACCTATATTTGAGAATTCTCTCTTCGGATGAGTCTCCAGAGGACTCTGAAGAGAAGGCTCAGAAGTCTGACCAGACCCTTGACGAGTCTCTGACCTGTGATGACGACGAACTCTTGGAAAACAGACGAAGTTATGTGAGAACGTCAAGTGAAGACCTGCTCTTGAAGTACAATCAGCCAAGCAAGTTTGGTTCCCTCCTCCAACGGATCCTTTCCGGTAAGACCGAAAGAAGCACACTGGCAGCTGGAAATAATAACTGAAAGAAAAAAAAATAAGTTTGCACCTTGCTAGTTTGTATAGTGTGATGTTCACACATGCTAAGGTGAACAATGATAGAACATGAATCTCAGCCTGTGGCACATGTGAGTGAGAATATCCTTTTCACCTTGAAACATGTAGGATTTCTCAGCCAGGGGCTTCTGGGCCCTCCTTATCAGGATGAGCTCACCTGGAATGGCATCCAAGCATGCAGACTCCTGAGCAGCAGTGCCACTCAGTGGTAGAGTGTTTACCTAGCACAAGTGAGGCCCTGATTTATCTCCCAAATCCACAGAAAAGGAAAAGAACACACTCTGGGGCTCTGTATGAGAGCTCCTTTCTTGGTATCAGAGTCTAGGGGCCGCTGATGAAATACCACTTTCAGCCGGTCTCTAGAATTGACTCTCAGGATATTTAGAAAATACTAATGTATGTTAAGTTGTTGTCTAGCATTTTAAAATATTAAGAAGTTTTTACTTTCTCTTTCTCTGATAGACACAGGACTCCAGACTGAGTCTGAGCGAGGGCACTTCTATAATAAGTAAGCATGAGACATTTTTATAAGTAGCTGTATTTTGTTGGGTACTGTATTCAATTGAATATACGTTTATTTATTGTTTTCTCTCAGATTTTCTGAATTTCCAACAAACCTCTTTATACATCCCAGCAGACTGGACTTTTCAACACAATTCCAAAATGTGATAGCAACTATTGAAAAATATATAAGTAAGTATTTGAAAGCCTTAGTGCCGTCTTTGGCAATGCTTTTTAAATTATTATCCAATATTCTTAGTCAGTGATATATAAGGCAGATATAAATAAGAGACCATGTATTCCAGTGTTTAGGATCAAGCAATGTTAATTTAGAATTATTTGAAGGTGTATGTGTGTGTGTGTGTGCATGTGCATATCACAGTATTGGTCAGAATTCTTTAAAGGAACAACTGATAGAATGAGTTTGTATGTATATACATACATATATATTTATATATACATGTATGTACATATACATATCTGTGCATATATATACACACACGTGTGTGTATGGATTTGTTAGACTGGCTTACAGGCTTTAGTCTGGGTAATCTAACAGTGGCTGGCTCCCAGTGGTAGTTGTTCAGTTCATGAGACTGGATGTCACAGTCGGCCTAGTTGGTTGGTGGAGTCCCAGGGAAATCCTAGAGAGCTGCTAGTCTTCAGTCTATGCTGGGATCCCATAGAAGGCGTTCTAATACCAGTGAAGAAATGCCTTGGGAACAGGCTAGATGAATCTGACACGAGAGTGGGGGCAAGCAGGCATAAAGCAAAAGCTTCTTTTTTTCATGTCCTTTTATGTGGGCTGCCACTAGGAGGTTTGGCCTAGATTTAGGGTGGGTCTTCCCATCTCAAATAATCCATTCAAACAAATGTCTCACAGGTGTGTCTAGCTACTTGGCTTGTAGTAGATTACAGACTATAGATGTAGTCAAACTGACCATCAAGATTAGCCTGCATGCCTGTAAAGAGAAAGTATGTTGGGCAAGCAACCTAAGGCTCGAGTTATTTGAATTTTATTTCATAGCATTGCAAAGATCTTGTTTCTACCTTGAATAAATTTTAAATGGTTATTTTCAGCTGTATGTATGTAATCTGAGATTACATGGCAGTGACTTCATTGGTCAAAGAGTTTCTTCATTTCTCACAGTAAGTTTTAGGAACAAATTGGACTATTAGGAGCCTTGGCAACTCTTCTGTCATTTGCTGTAGTTTGCTAAGTTCATGTGCTATAGAGCTGCCCCACTGCCTTCTAGTTTTTAGCACTGCACACTCGTTTCTGCCCAGGAAATTAACTACTTCTCTATGGAAATTAGAGGCATGTATTAATGATTCTTAAATTTAAGGGAGGGAGATTAATTATGAAGAAGTAGGTCCTCTGTCAGTCTTTCTGTAGATAGATTCCTTTTGCCACTTAGATATTCTTTATTTATTTATTTCTTCCCTTCTTTCTTTAATTTTTGGTCTCTGTTTCTTGAGTTAAAACATCTGACCACTTCCATGTTTTCCCTCAATATAAAATGTTTTTGCCATTTGATTTTTTTAAAATTTTCATTATAAAATAACTTGAGGCTTCTATGAAAATCATGAGCAGAGTAGAGCATTCCTGCATGCTCTACCCATGCTGTGACCATCAAAACTGCACAAGCAACTGTACAGCAGCACTAATGAAATGACAGAGGTCAGCTGCTTTGCTGATGTCAGCTTTCTGGTCCAGGATCTGGAGTCCACAGCTGTGCTTCGCATTTGTGTCTCTTGAGTCTTCCAGTCTGTGATAGCTCCCTTTCTTGTCTTTTGTGATCTTAAGGAATTTTTTTAATGTACTAGTTAGTTTTCCCATAAGTATACATTAGTTTGGTTTGTCTACTACTGTCGCATGATAAGTTTTGAGGTGTTGCATTTGAGGCAGGGATGTTGTGATAGTTTGCTATCCTTTTATTGTCTCAGGTTGTTAGACATGTCCAACATGCAGTTGCACATTGTGTTACTAGTAATGCTAACACAAGTACTTGTCTAAGGTGATCCTTGGGAAAGTCAGAAGATAATACAAATATGTTTCTGCTGATAAATGTACCCGTTGATTGTAGCATTCATCGGTGGAAAATCCTGCACCTGTCAACCAGTTCTCCATAAAAGGAGTTTCTCTTCCTCTAATTCTTCACACTTTTATCACTCAGGATGCTTATATAAGGAACAGTTGCTCCTCCTCTGTTTACGTATCTGTGGTATATGTTTAGTTGTATTTGAACTCTTAGATTATTGTATTTTCAGTATAGAAAGATTACTTTATATTTATATATATGGATATTTATTCTTATTTACATTTATTTATGTGGTGTATGACGCTTTCTTGTTTTTCCTAACCTTTGCCAATGTTGCATTGTCAGCCTTTAAGAAGTTCCTTTATCTTCAAGAGAGAGGTAGTAACACCAACCACATTTTGGTGATTTCTGTTTCACTAGGACTTGGTGGATGGCTCATATTTCCTTACCCCAGTAATCCATCTCTATGTTTCGTCAAATGTTTACTCGCTGCTGTGTGAGAGGGGTCTCTTAAGTGTGCTAGGTCAAATCTATTAGCAGCTGTAAGATTTGTAAGATGGTGTGATGGTGGAAATGCTAACTTTTCAATGCTTTGTTCCAGCCACAATCGTTCCTCTTCACCAAGACCCTCGCCTATCTACCATTATTGAATTGGTTTCCGTTCCAGATTTATCTAATGAGTCAGAAAGTATAGTCAAATATAAGAAGCACATTCGATGGCCAGATTACTATATCCTTTTTGAAACTGATGCTGACTATCAAAACAAAGTAAGTTTTGAGATTGTATGTCTTGGCAGTACCCCACTGAAATTACTATATGAACATGATGTATGGAAAACATCAGAGCATGCTAATTCATGGCAATGGGAGACTCATCCCAGTGACTCTACACTTGACTTCCCATGGCCTCTGATCTCTACTTACCACAGGTTTCCAAACCTCCACTGTGGAAATGAGTTTTCTTCCCTACGGTTCTTTTATAACATTGGCTTGCCAGTATGTTGGCTTGCTATTCCCCAGCCCTTCCCTTACCACATAACTATATATTTTTGTCCAAACTGACAGTAGAATATAACTATCTCAGCTTGTGTATGGATTCTGTCCTGTCAAAAACAACTGTCTTAAGAACTAGATGAAGTCATAAATACATAGGATTGGCTTTGTCTGTGACTATGTTAAGAACAGACCCTTAAAGCTCAGGTGACACGTAATGAAATAGATGTCTTGTCTCTGTAATATATAGTTCAGTTCACTCCTTGATTACAAAGTTAAATATCTGAGTAGCTTTGCATAAAAGTCAAGTGTTAATTATCTACATTGCTTGGTCTTGTTTCCAACATATTTCAATATTTACTCCCAGCTCTAAACAGAATGAGTTTTACAAAGACCATTACCTAACAGAAACAACCAGCTTGCCAAACTGTACATTTACACTCCTATGTTAAAAGTTTGAGTAACCTTTTCATTCCCAGACTGTGAGTGCTGACTATTGTATCGTTTTCATTCACAGATTGTGAGTCTGCTGACCATTATTGGTAATTCAATGGGCCTGGTTACCAATTACAGCTGCAGTTTTCTAAAGTATTGTTACATGGTAGAAAAGGCCAAAGTCATGAGTATGAAACTGCCATTTATGGGGATCTTGACATCAACAGAGTTTAAAAGTATAATACATAAGTTCAGAAACTACCTAAAACAGATTGTGACTATGGATATTGAGATGCGCCTTGGAATTTTTTGCGTGAAAAGTTTGGATTATCAATTAGCATGCTTACCATATGTTGATAACATCATAGAAATGAGCTACAACCTGTTACGTTATGCAATTGAGCAAAAAAACACGAATCTATTGGAAGTAAGTCTTTAAACCTTTCCTTTTTCATAAGATTTTGGATTAGATCAAAGATTTTGGATTATATCATAACTGTAAAACGCACACTCAAAAAATACACAGAAGTATTATCCTTGGAAAGTCTGAAAGTAGTGTGACTACATCTGCTTTTGTTTTAATCTTTGTCTTTGTGTATGTGCATTCATGTGTGTGAATGTGACTTGCATGTGTGCTGTGGTATGTGTGTGGAGGGCAGAGGACAACTTTGGGTGCTAGCTTCTCTTCCTCATTGTTTGAGATTGTGTCTCTTGTTTGTATGGCATAAACCAGGCTCTTGGGCTTCTGGGAATTCTCCTGTCTCCAGTTGATCTGGCCCTAGGAACCCTGGGATTAGAGACACACATGCTACTGTGTCTGGTTTTACATAGTTTATAGAGAGCCAAACTTGAGTCTTCCCACCGCATAGCAAGTGCTTACCCGGTACTTCCTTGAGAACTTTCTTGAAAACGTATTTCCTTGAGAACTTTCTGTGACATTGAAAGTATATCCCATGTCACTCTTCATCTCCACTTTGATCTTTTTAACATGCATCACTATCTGGCATTATGTTAGATGTTTGCTTGTTCATCCTCCTCTCAGAACATAAGATCCACCATTCTATGGAGTATCTGCAGTAAATCTTGGAACACTAATGCAATTTCAGTGTGTATTAGGGCTATCTTTGGGGGCAGTTCTCTTATGGGACAAATTTTCTAAGACCACTGTCATTTGAAGCTTCTATTAAAAAAAACTATGAGTATGTAAACATCTGGGAGCACCCTAAATTTAAGTTTCTAGGACAAATATGGATCCTAGTATACTAACCATTGTCTGTACCAACATTCTCAGTAATATCCTAGACCTGCTTAAAGACTAGAAGTTATATAGCAACTTCATTTTTCCTTTAGTTAGCCAGACAGACCACCAATACTTTTTTTTCACCTTTTAAAGTATTTCTTTTTTTATTATTTATTTATTTATTTATTAAAGATTTCTGCCTCCTCCCCACCTCCCATTTCCCTCCCCCTCCCCCAATCAAGTTCCCCTCCCTCGTCAGCCTGAAGAGCAATCAGGGTTCCCTGCCCTGTGGGAAGTCCAAGGACCACCCACCTCCATCCAGGTCTAGTAAGGTGAGCATCCAAACTGCCTAGGCTCCCACAAAGCCAGTACGTGCAGTAGGATCAAAAACCCACTGCCAATGTTCTTGACTTCTCAGTAGTCCTCATTGTCCGCTATGTTCAGCTAGTCCGGTTTTATCCCATGCTTTTCAGACCCAGGCCAGCTGGCCTTGGTGAGTTCCCAGTAGAACATCCCCATTGTCTCAGTGTGTGGGTGCACCCCTTGCGGTCTTGAGTTCCTTGCTCGTGCTCTCTCTCCTTCTGCTCCTGATTTGGACCTTGAGATTTCAGTCCAGTGCTCCAATGTGGGACTCTGCCTCTGTCTCCTTTCATCGCCTGATGAAGGTTAATATTCAGGAGGATGCCTACCACCAATACTTCTTAAACCTAAAGTTAATGCTAACCTTTGACTATGCCTCTGCAATATAACAGTGAAAATACAGCACCATTCTTGCACATACGGAGTCTAATGTAGCAAAAAATCTCATCAGAACCATCTAACAGAGCCTGGGTAGACAAGGAATAATTTTCAAAAAGAATGCTAATTACTAAGGGAGAAGTAGCAGAGGTATGAAAGCATTGTGTTGACAGGCAGGATAGTGTGGGCAAATGTTAATTTAACTGGATTCAGTTACACATGACCCCCTACCCCCACCACCAAAAGAAATGAACCTGTGGCTTATACAAGTTAGAACTAATTTCTCTGTCAGATAGTAGTTCACAGAGAGACAACCTAGGGCTACTATTAGAGTCCACATAGTCATTGAGAATTCTGGCTGCTTTGGGCTCACTGTGTCTCCCCCAAGCCCTCCTCATATTACATCACATGCCTTTTCTCAGCAGCAGGGCAGAAGAAGGCAACATGCCTGTTATGGGTCTAGAAGTTGGGTAGTAAAATGTCTTCATAGAGAGTTCCTTCCTAAGAGCTCCCCCATACCATCTTCTATTTTAACATAATTTTTCATTACTTAAAAAGAATATTTTATTAAATTCTTCAAGAATTTCTGGCAATGTATTTTGACCATATTCACTTCCTTCCCCGATTCCTCCCAGAGCCACCCCCACATCCTTCCCGCCCAAATGTGTGCTCTCTTTCTCTCTCTTTCTGAAACCCATCAAATCCAGTCTGTGCCAGCCAACTACTCCTGGGTCCAGCGCCTGCTCTACAGTGTAGTTGAGTTACCAGGGGTCAAATTGAAAAACTCTAGAACAACTCTGAGGCCATTCCTGAGGCCTCTCAGCCTTAGTGCTTCCCCCTTCCCTGGAAACTTAACAACTTCCCAAGCACGTACTGGAATGTTGGAAATTTTCCGTCTCACTGTGGCCTTGTGGATGTTCTCCAGATAGAACTCAGTTATTGGAATTGGGGAAAGATAACCCTTAGAGGTTGACTCCATTCCTCGGTCTTGGTCAGGGGATATCGACTCAGTTCCTCGGATATGGTTAGGATAACTCACAGGTGTTTCTCCCTTACCCCACCTGATCTAGCAACCACTCTCTAGCTGTGGCTGAGACCAATCATTGCTAGTAGCCCTTTGAATCAGCCAATAATTGGAAAAACAACCCCAGACTCCCCGCTTGTTTCTGTGGCTTTTTACTTTAAAAGTAGCTTGTACCAGCTATTTGGGGTCTTTTGGCTTCTCGAATGCTGAAAGGCCCTGTCATGACAGAATTAAAATTCTCATGCTTTTACATCAACTGCAGTGTGAGAGTGTTTTCTTGGGGTGACTCCTCCTCGGTGATTGGACTTCAGGGTCCAACAATACCATTGAAGAAAACCACATCTCTCTCTCTCCCGGAAGCTATCAAATGCTAATAGCTTCCTGGCTGGGGTTGGGACTTCATGTCCATCTCCCCTCTCCAGTCTGGAGTTGTGTCTAGCTTGAGCCTTGAGGGTCTGTGCATGCTGCAATCATTGTGCACAGGTGCAGCTTCCCTGCTGTGTCCAGAAAACACTATTTCCGAAAGGTCATCCGCCAACTCTGTCCCCTCTTCTCTGAAAATCCCTGACCTTGGGAGGGGGAAGATTGTGCACAGATGTCCCCGTTAGGACTGGGCATTGCACGGTTTCTTATTCTCTGCACCTTGACCGGCTGCTGGTCTCTGTGCCAATTGCTGTCTATTGGGAGAAGAAGCTTCTCTGTTGCGGGTTGACTCATAATTCTGTAACTTTACCAAGTATCTGATCTTAGACTAATTTGAGGTGCAGTTCCTTGTCTGACGAGTAGAGAAAACAACATCTAATATACAAACACAGTCTCTCAATACAATGGGACCATAGCCTGGGGAATCTGGACTGTGCATGGTCAAAATGGCTGTGTTCTACTCACAGTCCAGCCTCGCTCTTGACATCTGCATCACACTTACTTAAAGTTGTCCATAGAATCTTTCTCGTGTCTTATTTATTTTGCCTGTGAAATATATTCAAGCACTTTCTGCTAATTGTAGAAAGATTTGACTGTGTCAGTGTTCTAGCATTTAGCAAACACTTAGAATTATGTGCAGTTTGTATGTGATTGGTTTCTGAAATTACATCTATAGAAGTCAGAATTCCAAGATAAAGCCAAAATTTTCTAAAATAGTGAATTTATTACATTCTTACCATTGGGGTGTTAATAATTTCAGACCTTAGATTCATCACTGCGCCAGCTGGCTTGTGAGCCTGCACAAGTAGAGGAATTTGTGGACCATTTTAATTTTTTGGAAGAAATCACTTCGAGTGTTTCTGAATTAGAAAGAGACATTTCCACAATTTCTCAGCTGTATTCTGTTGTGAGGCATTACCAGATCGATATTTCTGAAGAGCAGAAGGCCATCTACAGTATCCTTTTCATGAAGTTTAATCATCTAAAAACAGCTATGAAGTTAATTGCCACAAATAAAGAGGCCACCCTAAATAAATTCAGGAACAGTTTGGAAACACATATTATTGGCCTACGAGTAGATGTCAGAAACCTAAAGGATAAAGTAAGTGCTTTTTGTTATCATTAAAATTCTTATCTTAGTAACACTCTGCATTTAGATTTTTGCTCTCTAAGGAATCATTGCTCAATAACTTAATCCAGATATATTTGCCCAGTGTGGTATTGAATGAGAAATGTCCCCCTTTTGAACACTTGGTCCCGAGGTGGCAGGTACTGATTGGGGAGATTAAGAAGGTGTGGCATGGTCAGAAGAAATACGTTACGGGGGGTGGACCTTCAGAGTGAAATCATGATGTACTTCCAGCTTGCCTTCTTGGCCTCCTGCTCGAGCTCGAGGGGGTGAGCTCTCAGCTCTCTGCTCTGGCCACCATGCCTGATGCTTGCCCGCATTGCTCCCTGCTGCAATGGAGCTTTAGCCAGAACTCTTCCCTAAGCTGCCCTGGTCACAGTGTTTAATCACAGCAGCAGAAAGCCGCTAACACACCCTGGTATTCACAAGTAGAAATCTGATGGATTGTGAAGTTGAATGGGACATGATATCACAAATCTCTTTTTTGATAACCTCTACCAGGAATCTAGCCTTTTCTTGATCTATGAACGAATGTGATTTCCAGGACACCAAAGTCCTTCAACAACTGCAGAAAAGGGGGCAACATGAAATAAGCTTTCTTAAACTTGGTCTAGGCTTTTGGGTCAAATGATAATATTCCAATTTCATTCATTTTATCATGTCAAAAAATAGGCCATTTACTAAAAATGTTGCCAGTAAGACATGTCTGTGTTCTGAGCTGTCTGGCCTCTTTGAATGTTTTTCCTGTCGGTTGTAGATAAGAAGTCCCATCCTGCTGTGTGGGAGTACTCCAGTACCAAAAGCCAAAGACCTGGTCAAGTCTCTCACAGCGGAAGCGGCAAACTTGACTAACAAGGTGAAGACCTACGCAAGCTACCAGGACTATTACGACGACTCCCAATCCCACATGCACTCCCTCAACATGGAAGAGATCACACAAATTGTGTTGAGTGAGATCTCTGACATCGAGTGTGACCTGATGCTGAGGAAACTCTTATGGGACGCCCAAGAAGAGTGGGGCACCCTGTTCTGGGAGTGGAGGGGCTGCACTCTCCAAAGCATAGATATGGACTTAGTGAGGAGCAGCGTCTCCAAGTGGCTGCATATAATCATCGTCCTGGAAAAAGGTAGTACATGCCCCCACAGCTTCCTACCCACCGTAGGCAAAACGGTCAGTCTTCCTTTGGCCTTCCCTCAGAAGCTGGCCATCAGACACCTGCAGAGACAGACAGAGAAATCTAGGTAGAAGTCTTGTACTGAAGCAAGACACAGTTTAGAGCCTTGGGTAGTGGGTGGGATAACCACAAGTGGTTACAAATAGTCTTGTAGCCTTTAAGGCCCAGCACTCAGGAGGCAGAGCCAGCTCGATCTCTGTGAGTTTGAAGCCAGTCTGGTCTACAGATCAGATGCCAGGACAGCCAGGACTGTTATACAGAGAAACCCTGTCTCAAATACACACACAAATACACACACACACACACACACACACACACACACACACACACACGCTGGTTTCATGGGTAGAACTTCAGATGTTTCAGAATCAGTTTTGACTCCCAGGGTTTGCGGGTTTCAGATGTTTTTATGCTAAAATCCTGCCAGCAGAATCTTTTCCTGAATTCTACATATGGCACTTATAGTTTCCTTTGGGTAGTGGGAAAAACACCTAAAGTAACTCTGTGACATTTGTCAGTGCTAGTCATCACATTTGAGATGGCACCTGCACAGAAACACTGTACCATGACGGGGTTCTCTCTGTTCAGCCTGGACAAGCTTGCCTTCATTTTCTGTTAAGACTCCTTTGTCACTCACTACTCCTCAAGCTAGGAACCCTTCTCTAGAAGAGCCACTGAAACGCTTTAGTTTGCTTGCTGTTAAATTGTACAACCTACGTCTGTAGCCCCACCACAGAGTGTTTGCTTTGGAGGACGGGACCCTGTGTTTGATCCCCAGCAGCACAAAGGAGGAAGTGTATATACTATATTACAAATGAATGTCACTGTCACCATGGGGCTGTGTGGTGCACCCCTACAATCCCAGCATTTAGGAGACTGAGGCGGGAGGCTCACAAATTCAAGAGCACCCTGAATTACATGATAAGGTTCTGTCCCAGAGAAACACCATCTCAGCAAGCAAGCAAACAAACAAAAATCCACGTGTGTGTGTGTGTTATAATGTTTAGCAAAAAAAAATAGACATTGCAAAGCATAGCCTCAGAGCTCTCAAATAACACAAGTGTGCGTACTCTCAACATTTGTCATATGCTTCAAAGAACAAGGTACTAAGCAACAAGTAGACAGCACCTTGTCTTTTTCTTAAACATATTTTGTTTCTATTTTTAATTTAATTAAATATAATTTCATCATTTCCCCCTTTCATATTCCCCCTTTAATCTCTCTCAAATTTGTGGCCTCTTTTTCTATGACTATTATTGTTACATATATAAATACAACCAGCTAGTGTTCCTTGTATATACATAATTCCAGGACTGACCACTGGGTATGAAATCACCAACTTGGGAGCTCATCCCCAGGGAAGACTAATTCTTTCTCTCAGAATTCCTTAAGTTGCCTATAGGTCATTGTCTAGCAGGAGGCCCCATGAGATTTCCTCTTCCATGTTAGCACGTCTGACGTGTGTGTGTGTGTGTGTGTGTGTGTGTGTGTGTGTGTGTGTGTACACATATGCATATTCTTGTCAGTGAAAAGTTTGGGAAGCCTTGTGCCAGGTGCCATCCAGGCACCTAATTTCCCAAGACAACTTGGGTCTGTTAGGCTTGGGGATTAGTCATTTATACCGACAATTATTTTCCTATATTTTAATCCTTAGTCGATGTTATGGATGTTTGGCATCAAAACTTCATTGTTCTATAATGAAGATTAACAAGTGATAGAACAGCATTATGTTGATTAGCAAGTTTTAAAGAAAAATTCTCGGTTTGTTTGGTGAAAAAGATATGAACATATTATTAGTCTACCAATTCGCTGGTATTTGCAGGTTTACCTAAAAATGACATGGTAGCACACCTCAAGCAGTCAGTGCTGGACTTCAAGCAAGAGCTTCCAATCCTCACAGCGCTGGGAAACCCTTGTCTCAAGCAACGTCACTGGAAGGCTCTGCGGGAGATCACCGGAAAGGCAGTTTCCCTCAATAAAAATCTCTCAGTAGAGAAACTTCTAGCACTCAAGGTACATAAAAATAGTTGACAAGAACACATTGAATCATGAGGGATGAGTTTTAATTATTGGCAAGGGACCCTACAAGGAACATACATTAGGAAATGGGGAAGGGGGCAGGGTGTCTGGGACAGCAGGGAGTTGGCGACAGGATGTTCTGTTTAGTGGGTGGATGGGGACTTTGGTTTCAGCTTTATTCCTGAGATGATAGGAGCCCAGTATCCCTGCCTTTCATATGCAACAAATGCCAGTCTTTAACATGCTAGTTCTTATAGAGATTGTATTTTATAAGACTAGAAATATCAAATGCACTGTGCCTCATTTTGTAAGTATTGAAAATATATTAAGAACATACTAGGATAACTTTACCAATAAAAGTCTAATTAGCAACAGTTTGCTATTCCACAAGGCTCTGTTATATAGGGCAGTGGATACGGCTTAGTTTGTAGAGAGCCTTTCTACCTTCAGGAACCCTAGGTTCTAATCCTAGGGTCACATAAACCACCCTGGCTATGGTGTGTGCCCTCAATCTTAGCATTCAGGAGGTGGAGGCAGTCATTTTTAAATACATATCCTACTTGAGACCAGCCTGGTCTATATGAAATCCTTTTGCAAAAACTAACAAAACAAATAAAAATGTATTATATATGTATATATATATGTATATATATATATATATAATTTTGAGTTTTCATAGTTTAAAAAGTTTCTATTTTCTTGGCTATCCTGTAAGAACCTTCATTTATGTTTCATTTTTGACAATAATGTAATCAAAACCAGCGTATTATGCCTATAATTTTGTTGTAAGGATAAACATGGGAAATACTTTGAAAGAATTTAGGAGGTAGAGTCTTTAAGAACCCTAATTAGTTTAAAACTAAGCTGTTTTAAATCTCTAGACATAGTCTTAGCCTTCCTCCTGAGCTCAAGACACACCTTCCTGTCCAAGTTTCCATTCATGTGCATAAGCTGTGTTCAAAAACTTAACATGCCTCTCGTTGCCCACCTCTCCAAGTCTCTCATCTGCCCTCCCTGCCTTGGTTCAGTTATTGACAGCCCCATCCTTCCAACTCCTTATGTGAAATCACATTTGCATTCTCCTGGTAACCATTCTGCATCCTACTTAAATCTCCCATCATCCCATGCCTTTCTGGGAGCCTCCTGGCTGAACTGTGCACTACAGAGGACTAAGGGTCAGTGCCAGCAGCTGAGCTCATGCAAAGCAGCTGCTGAGCATCTAGGCCATGTCAAGGATTTTCATTGAGACGTCTTCCAGCTGAGTGATCGTGTGGAAGCTGGAGACGTCTTGACTAATTGGAACTACTCCTACACCAAGCCAGGTTAAGAATGTGAATTTGACAAAATAAGAGTAGCAGCATAGAATACAAGTCAGAATGAACTGCCCTTTCAGGGTGGCAACTGGGGGCCTGCATGAAACAGTGTCCCATGATGCCCCAATATACAACTTCTGAGCCATCCTTGACTTTGTGATGGGATAGGGAGTTTAAAAAGGAAGGCTGGTACAGATTTTAGAGGGTCCAACTTAGTGAACATAAACAGGAGGGGGTAAGGTTTGCAGACGACATAGTGGCCACAGAACCCCACATCTCTTTAAGTTATAATGACAGAGCCCAATGAGGAGGCAATCGTGTGGTAAACCCCAGTGAACTCCTGAGAGGTTCAAGAAAGGGAGAAGTGGTTAGCCTTTATCCGTGTACCAATCTGTGTTAGCTGAAGAAGAGATTTTAAAAAGCAAGCCTCTTTCACAGTGCTGCTGGTTAAGGCCATAAACACTCAAGATCCATCAGGGCCCTTGGTGTCATCTTTGGCAACCTGCAACAAATGGTGACAGACCACTGTGCTACATGAGCAAGCAAAGAGGGTAAGCCTCTTTCTTTAGCACCGTGGAGATTATATATAGGAGTAGTGGTAGATTCAGTTTCCTGATAAGGTATAAAAACAGTAATCCCAGATAGTTCATCCTAAAGGTAGAGACTGAGAAGTTCTTTGAATCTCTAGTATTGTGACTGAATCTAAAGTTTTTCTACCAGGATCTTATGGGAACTTGCAATCAGTGCACATGGGAAAAGGCTTGAATTTATCTTACTAATGCATATAAAACAAAACCAGAAGCAGCAAAAGATAAAAACACCCTTAGTCCTTGGTAGATCTAGCAAAGAACAAGAAGCTATAGAAATCTGGGTTTATCAGGTTGCCTTTTCTTGTGTGTTCTCTAAGAAATGTTGTAGGATATGTAAAAGCTTGCTGCCAAGTAGCAGAGGCATAGGCGCTAGTGTGGAGGAAACGGTGCCGCCCACCCATACATGAGGCACATGCAGACTCTGCGCTCAGCCTGAGAGGAGATGAAGTAGACGTTCTGGTTGAGCACGAAGCATGTGAGTTGGCCCCAGTGCGTCAACAGAGAGAGAGCTGTGTCCCGACATGGGCCCCAGAGTCTCCAGATGGAACACCAACCTCCCCAGCGTCGGACCTGTGGATCTGAGTTCGCGCACCCTTCAAGACACGGCTTTAAATCTCCAGTTTAGAATCTTTGGGAATTGTTTGCTCCTCTAGATATTAAATGATTTCTTCATTTCAGATGTTTCCGTATGAAAAGAAAATAAATGAAATATCGGTCTCGGCAACGAACGAAGCCACACTGGAGAAAATGTTGTCTAAGGTCATTGAGGTCTGGAACAATTCTCCCCTGCATTTGATTTTCCATCACACAGAGAGTTCCAACATCCTCATCATTGCCTCCATCGACGACACGATCACTCAGCTGGAAGAATCCCAGGCCATCCTCGCCACAATCAAAGGATCTTCCTATATGACGCCAATTAAGGTAAATGCTGTGGCAAAGATTTGGGAGTGTTTTCATTTCCTTCAGTCTACCAGGTGGACTTTGCTTTCTGCAAACTCATATTTGGTATCAATTATATGAATTTTTCTTATGTTTATATAGAAGAGGGAATGTTTAATAATGTGAACACTAAAAGTAATTTTTCAGAAATGCTCATTAATTATTCACAAGGAAATATCAAAGTTGAATTTGGATGGGCAAAATAAATTTAGATTATGTATGTATAATCATATAAACATATATCCACAAAATATGACTTTTACCAGTTTCTTGTAACTAGTAGTCCTGTGTCTAATAACTAAAACTAATTTTCAAACTAAGAAACTTAATCAGATGTGTATTGATAAACTCTTCAATGACAAAATTAAGATAATTAGTATATGGATATGCACCTCCGTACAAATAGAGAGACTCACAGAGAAGTCTGAGCAAACAGAATTCATATTTGTAAATATGCAGACATTTAAAGAAATGTGTGATTTAGGTGGGCCTTAGAGAGAAAACAATGTATTTCAAGAAGAAAATAAATAAAATGGATTATACTGTCAAAAGCCACATAGTAAAATAAAAATTACAATTAAGAGAAAAATAACAGAAAAAAACAAGATTCACAAAAAAATGAGATACAAGAAGTATAATTTTAAATTTTTAACTTTTGAAATGAGCAGCAAGAACAGAATCACATATCCAGCCTGAATACAATTGGATAAAGCCTTGTGGAAATGCATGGTGCAATAAATGCCTTTATTAAAATAAAAATTAAGGAGTTATAAATTGGGCATGTTTGAAAAGCCAAAATGGAAGCCATGTGGGAAGACTGCTTTTTTTCACTTTTTTAAATTGATTTTTGTTGAGCTCTACATTTTTCTCTGCTCCTCTCCCTGTCTCTCCCCTCCCCTTCTACCCTCTCCCAAGGTCCCTATGCTCCCAATTTTCTCAGATCTTGTCTTTTTCTACTTCCCGTGTAGATTAGAGTCCTCATTGTTGTCTAGATTCTCTAGGATTGTGATTTGTAGGCTGGTTTTCTTTAATTTATGTTTTAAAACCACTTATGAGTGAGTACATATGATAATTGTCTTTCTGGGTCTGGGTTACCTCACTCAATATGATGTTTTCTAGCTCCATCCATTTGCCTGCAAATTTTAAGATGTCATTATTTTTGTGCTGTGTAGTACTCCATGGTATAAATGTAACACATTTTTCTTATCCATTCTTCAGTCGAGGGGCATTTAGGTTGTTTCCAGGTTCTGGTTATGACAAAAAATGCTGCTATGAACATAGTTGAGCACATGTCATCATGGTACAATTGAGCATCCTTTGGGTATATACCCAAAAGTGGTATTGCTGGGTTCTAAGGTAGGTTGCTTCCTAATTTTCTGAGAAATTGCCCATTCTTTAGGTTTCCATTTTGTCTTGTTGACTGTGTCCTTTGTTTTACAGAAGTTTCTCAGTTTCAGGAGGTCCCATTTATTAATTGTTTCTCTCAGTGTTTGTGCTACTGGGGTTATATTTAGGAAGTGGCCTCCTGTGCCAATACATTTAAGTGTTCTTCCCACTTTCTCTTCTATGAGGTTCAGTGTGGTTGATTTTATATTGAGGTCTTTGATCCATTTGGACTTGAGTTTTGTGCATGGTAATAGATGCAGATCTATTTTCATTCTTCTACATGTTGAAATCCAGTTATGCCAGCACCATTTGTTGAATATGCTTTTTTCCATTTGATATTTTTTGCTTCTTTGTCAAAAACAAGGTGTTTGTAGGTGTGTGGATTGATATGTGGGTTTTTGATTCTGTTCCATTGGTCCTCCTGTCTGTTTTTATGCCAATACCAGGCTGTTTTTAGTATCGTAGCTCTGTTAGTAGAGTTTGAAGTCAGGGATTGTGATGCCTCCAGAAGTTCCTTTATTGTACAGTATTGTTTTGGCTATCCTGGGTTTTTGACTTTTTCATATGAAGTTGAGTACCATTCTTTCAAGGTCTGTGAAGAATTTTACTAGGATTTGATGGGCATTACATTGAATCTGTAGATTGCTTTTGGTGAGATTGCCATTTTTATGTTAATTCTACCTACCCAAGAGCATGGAAGATCTTTCCATTTTCTAGTGCATTCTTGAAATTTCTTTCTTCAAAGACTTAAAGTTATTGTCATACAGGTCTTCCAGTTGTTTGGTTAGAGTTACTCCAAGATATTTTATGCTGTTTGTGGCTATTGTGAAAGGCGATGTTTCTCTGATTTTCTTCTCAGCCCACTTATCATCTGTGTAAAGGAGGGCTATTGATTCTTTTTGAGTTAATCTTGTATCCTGCTACATTAATGAAGGTGTTTATGAGTTGTAGAAGTTCCTTGGTAGAATTTTGGGGTCCCTTATGTAAACTATCATATCATCAGCAAATAGTGAGAGTTTGACTTCTTCTTTTCCTATTTGTATCCCCTTGATCTTCTTTTTGTTGTCTTATTGCTCTAGCTAGAACCTCAAGTACTATATTGAATAGATATGGAAAGAGTGGACAACCTTGCCTTGTTCCTGATTTCAGTGGGGTCGCTGTGGGTTTCTCTCCATTTAGTTTGATGTTGGCTGCTGTTGACTTGCTATATATTGCCTTTATTATGTTTAGGTATGTTCCTTGTATCCCTTCTCTCTTCAAGACCTTTATCATGAAGGGATGTTGTATTCTGTTGAAAGCTTTTTCAGCATCTAATGAGAAGATCATTTTTTTTAAGTTTGCTTATATGGTGGATTATGTTGACAGATTTTCATATGTTGAATCATCCCTGTATCTCTGGGATGAAGCCAACTTGATAATGGTGAATGATTTTTCTGATGTGTTCTTGAATTTGGTTTGCCCGTGTTTTATTGAGTATTTTTGCATCAATGTTCATGAGTGAGGCTGGCCTGTAATTCTGTTTCTTAGTAATGTCTTTGTGTGGCTTGTGTATCAGGGTTATTGTAGCATCATAAAAAGTGGTAATGTTCCTTCTGTTTCTATTGTGTGGAACAAGTATTGGTATTAGTTCTTTGAAAATCTTGTAGAATTCTGTGCTGAAACCATCTGGCCATGGGGGGATTTTTTTTGTTTTGTTTTGTTTTTTGTTTTTTGTTTTTTGTTTTTTGTTTTTTTTTTTTTTTTTTTTTTGGTTGGGAGACTTTTGATGACTATGTCTTGTTGGAGGGAGACCACTTGTTGATTCCCGGATGCTCAGCCCTGAAATAATCACACAGAAACTATATTAATTAAATCACTGCTTGACCCATTAGCTCTAGCTTCTTATTGGATGGCTCTTACATATTAATTTAACTCATTTCTATTAATCTGTGTATTGCCACGCGCCTGTGGCTTACCAGCTAAAGTTCCATCTGGCACTGGTGGGGCTACATGACTTCTCTCTGACTCTGCCTTCTCTCTCCCCGCACTCAGCTTAGTTTTCCCCGCCTAGCTCTGTTCCCCTATAGCTTGCTATAGGCCCAAAGCAGTTCCTTTATTTTTCAATGGTAAACATAGCATACAGAGAGAAATCCCATATCAGTTTCTATTTCTTTAGTAGTTATAGGTCTACTTAATTTGCTTATCTGGTCTTAATTTAATTTTGATAAGTGATATTTATCCAAAAAATTATCTATTTCCTCTAAGTTTTCCAATTTTGTGGAGTATGGGTTTTTGAAATATGACATAATGATTCTCTGGATTTCCTCCATGTCTGTTATGTCCCCCTTTTGATTTCTAATTTTGTTAATTTGGATATTCTCTCTCTGCCTTTTGGTTAGTTTGGATAAGGATTTGTCTATTTTGTTGATTTTCTCGAAGAACCAACTCTTCATCTCCTTGATTCTCTGTATTGTTTTCTTCATTTCTATTTTGTGGATTTCAGCTCTCAATTTGATTATTTCCTGCTGTCTAGTATTCTAGGGTTAGTGGCTAAGTTTGCTTCTTTTTGCTCTAGAGTTTTCAGATTTTTCTGTTAACTCACTAATGTGGAATTTTTCCAGCTTCTTTATGTAGGCATTTAGTGCTATGAATTTTCCTCTTAACACTGCTTTCATTGTGTCCCATAAATATGGGTATGTTGTGTGGCCATTTTCATTGAATTTTAAGAAGTCTGATTTCTTCCTTTATTTCTTCCTTGACCCATTGATGATTCAAGTGAGCATTGTTTAATTTCCACAAGTTTGTGGACTTTCTGAAATTAGTATTGCTGTTGAATTCTAATTTTTAGCCATGATAATCCGATAAGATACATGGGATTATTCCAATTTTTTGTATCTGTTGGAAGTCTGTTTTGTTACCTAGTGTGTGGTCAGTTTTTGAGAAGGTTCCATGAGGTGCTGAGAAGAAGGTATATTCTTTTATGTTTGGATGGAATGTTCTATAGATGTCTGTTAAGTCCATTTGATTCCAAACATCTGTTAGTTCCCTTATTTCTCTGTTAATTTCTGTCTGACAGACTTGTCCAGTGGTGAGAGTGGAATGCTGAAGTCTCCCACTATTAGTGTGTGGGGTTTAATGTGTGATTTAAACTTTAGAAGTATTTCTTTTACATATGAGGGTGCCCTTGTATTTGGGGCATAGACCTTCAGTATTGAGATTTCCTCTTGATAGATTTTTCCTGTGACTACTATGAAATGTCCTTCTTTGTCTCTTCTGATAGATATTAATTTGAAGTCTATTTTGTTAGATATTAAGATAGCTACACCAGCTTGTTTCTTAGGTCCATTTGATTAGAAAATTTTTCCCCAATCCTTTACTCTGAGGCAATGTCTGTCTTTGAGGTTGAGATGTGTTTCAGCAGAAGGGTAGATTCTGTTTTCATATCCAATCTGTTAGCTTATATCTTTTTATAAGTGAGTTGAGTCTATTTATATTAAGGGATGTATTTTTCCCTTCTTTGGGATTTGCTGCTGTAAGATCATCTATTGTGTGTGTGTGTGTGTGTGTGTGTGTGTGTGTGTGTGTGTGTGTTTGGACGTAGCTAATTTCCTTGGGCTGGAATTTTCCTTCTAGTACTTTGTGTAGGGTTAGATTTGTGACTAGCTATTGGTTAAATCTGGTTCTGTCATGGAATATCTTGTTTTGTCCATCAATGGTGATTGAAAGTTTTGCTGGGTATAATAGTCTGGGGTGTCATCCGTGATCTCTTAATGTCTGCATTAACACTTGACCACGACCTTCTGGCTTTCATTGTTTGCATTGAGAAGCCAGGTGTAATTCTGACAGGTCTACCTTTATATGTTACTTGGCCTTTTTCCTTTACAGCTCTTACTATTCTTTCTTTATTCTGTATGTTTAGTGTTTTGATTATTGTGTAGCAAGGGAACTTTTTTTTTGATCCAATCTATTTGGTGTTCTGTAAGATTCTTGTATCTTCATATGCATTTTTTTATATTGGGAAAGTTCTCTTCTATGATTTTGTTAACTATATTTTCTGTGTTTTTGAGTAAGACTTCTTCTACTTCTTCTATCTCCATTATTCTTAGGTTTGGTCTTTTCATGGTGTCCCTTTTTTTTAATAAATATTTTGTGTTAAGCTTTTGTTAGATTTAATGTTTTCTTTGACTGATGAGTCTTTTTTCCTCTATTGAATCTTCAGTGCTTGAGATTCTTTCTTCTTTCTCTTGTATTCTGCTGTTTATGACTGCATTTGTGGTTCCTGATTGTTATCTCGTAATTTCCATTTCTATAATTCCCTCGATTTGTGTTTTCTTTATTGTCTCTATTTCAGTTTTCAAGTCTTGAATCATTTCTTTCATATGTTTGATTGTTTTTTCTGGGTTTTCCTTAAGGGATTTGTTGATTTCTTCCAATTTTTTTGTTTGTCTTTTAGTCCATTTCTTTGAGGAAATTTTTTATTTCCTCTTTAAGGTCCTCAAACATTCTCCTAAAGTTATTTTTAGGTCATTTTCTTCTGCTTCATCTTCATTTGGGTGTTCAAGTGTTGCTGTTGTAGGGCCACTAGTTGCTCTTTGTGGTGTGGAGTGTGTTCTTACCTTGTCTACCTATATTTTCCTCTGATTGGTGTAGTTGGGGCTGTGTCTCTGGTGATCAATCTTCCAGGTGCGAATGGATCCAAGGCTCAGATGATTGTTCCTCCTGGTGCAGCCAGGGCCATGGTTCCAGTCACCCTGGAGGTCACTCCGTGTTCCCAGTGATTGTTTAGCACTCCTAGGGGTGGCTCTGCTATACTTGGAGTCTTTTGGCTCTGCTCCCATGGAGGTTGCTTGCTTGGGGCTGCTCCTGCTGAGGTCCCTGCCTTGGGCCTGCTCTGGTAGAGGCTGTTGGCTCAGGCCTGCTCCTGCAGAGATCCCTGGCTCCAGTCTGCTCCCTCAGTGGTCACTCCCTTGTACCTGCTCCTATGGAGGTCATTGCCTTGGGCCTGCTCAGCTGAGGTCGCTGGCTCAGGCCTATTCCCACAGATGTCCCTGGCTTGGGCCTGCTACCACAGAGGTCCCTAGATTGGACCCAGTACTACAGAGAGGTCTCTAGCTCGGGCCTGCTTCCTCAGAGGTCCCTGACTCATACCAGTCCCTCAAAGGTCTCTGGCTTGGGCCTGCTCCCTCTTTGGTCACTCCCTTGTACCTGCTTCTGTGGAGGTTGTTGCTTTGGGCCTGCTCCCAGGAAGACTACTTCTAAGTAAGATGAATTCAATGGACTTGAGTTACCATCCTACCCAAAAATCTAAAACCAAACCAGAAATATACATACATACATACATCTATCTCCTGACATGGGGAGATACTGTCTGAAGTTGAAAGATAAACACCAGGGACAACTATAGAGAGAGAGTCCAGGCTCCCTCCTGTGTATTCCAACTCACCTAATGAATGAAACTTAAAGTTGTTACAGGTTATAGGGGACCAGGCAGAGCCTGAGAGAGTCAGAGGGAACCAGTGGGATGCAGCTGGGTACAAGGGGACCATTTCAGGGAATGAGCACCATTTGTTGTCTTGATTGTGTTAGGTCCCAAAGAAACCCAGGACAAGGTCTAACTGAGGTACACATGAACATATCAAAGCAGATGCTGCCCACCAGGCTCTCTCAGCACCCCAAGTACCTGTTACAGAGTTCCAGTTCCTCTCAGTACCTCTCGCTCTCTACCCTACTCAAACCTCTCCTGCCCCTGAGCTTCTCTTTCCTGCGTAACTCAGCCTTTTCAGCCGTGCACTCTCTTGCTTCTCCTTTTGTCCTCTTGGCTTCTGGGTCTTCAGTCTCTTGATTCTCTTTGCCTTCCTGGTCTTCTCCTCCTCTCTTGCTCTCTGCCCCCTTGTGGCCCCGCCTCTTCTGCTGACCACATTCAGTCTGTAGTCCGTACTCTTCCAGATGCTTCTGGCTGTTCTCTCCCTCGTATCTACCATAAAAACCTTCTCCTTGACCATACAATGGAGCCATAATGGCCTCATTTCCATGCAGATTATGGTAAAGATTTTACAGGTATAAGAATATGCTGAAACTGGGCACATTAAATACATGCCAGTTACAGGGTATGGTAGTACAATGCCTTTAAGTAGAGGCAGTTGTATCTCTGTGAGTTCAAAGCCAGCCTGGTCTACAAACCTTGTTCCAGGCTACCCAGGGCTATACAGTAACACCCTACCTTTAAAAAACAATCAATCAACCAGTGCCATTTATATTACATTTTATCAGTTATACCTAATACAATACAGAAGCAAGGACAGAATAATATAGAATGCTGGTAAATTCCAAAAGACAAATATAAATTAGTTAAAAGTCAGTCTTTCTAAAGGATTAGAAGCCAGTGATCTACTGGCTTCTAAGAAAGCAATTTATTATCAATTGACTTTTAACCAGATTCTCACTAATTTTTAAATGTAACAGTCAGTTAAAAAGATCTACACAATGAAATTCTCTGAACAAAGGAAACCACCAACCACCAGGTAGGATGGCGGTACACACCTTTAATCCCAGCTTCAGACCTCTGTGAGCTGGAGGCCAGCCTGATCTGCTCACCGTTTCAGGCCAGCCAGAACACACACACTCTCTCTCTCTCTCTCTCTCTCTCTCTCTCTCTCTCTCTCTCACACACACACACACACACACTCTCTCTCTCTCTCTCTCTCTCTCTCACACACACACACACACACACACACAAAACTGCTGATATAAAACCTGGTTCCTCTCAGTACTTCTCACCCTTAGATGTCATTTTTAAAAAGATGCTAGCTTTTTGAAAAATCAAGTTATAGGACAATGACAGCTGCATTTATGCAAACTCTGGAAGACATTGTGTGCCTATGTCTACAAGTAGAGAAAGACTTAAAGAAGGGACGGGAATAGCACACGCACTACATACCTCGTTATCTCTTATCATTCTGTGACAGGCAGTATGTAAGGGTCGTTCATGTTAACTCCATAGTATGCGCATATTACCTGAGTTAGTTTTATATGTGTGTGCAAGTCTTATGGAAAAGATGTCAATGTGATCTCAAGTAATGTATGAGAAAACCAGATGAAGAGAACATCTGAAAACTAAAAACTGAATAGAGTCAGATTTCTTTTCATTTATGTGACTCTTTATCAATAGTTTTGTTAAGTCGGTGGCTACTGGTTGCCTCACCTCAGTTTCTGTTATGTAATTTTTAGTAATTTCATGCATTTAGATTATTATATGTGGTGTTTTTTCCCTCTTTTGTAGAATCTTGTGAATGAATGGCATCAAAACTTAAGCCTCTTCTCTTACACCATTGAGGAATGGATGAACTGTCAAAGAAATTGGCTTTATCTTGAACCAATCTTTAATTCTTTAGAAATACAAAAGTAAGAAAATAAAAAAAAAACATCATGTACAGCTTAAAAATGCACAGGGGGATTTAATCATCCAGAAATGATCTCTTCAGTGGGCCAACAGCAGCTGTGGTTTGGATGTGAAATGTCCTCTATAGGTCATGTGTTTGAATAGTTGATCTCAAGGTTTTTGTGGTTCCTGGGAAGATTGAGGAACTTTTGGAGATATGGAACCTTACAGGAGGAAATGGGTGTTGATTGGGAGCCTTGAGGTTTCACAGCTATGGCACTCCCTGCTTGTTCTCCACTTCCTAACTGTGAATGCCATGTGTGCAGCTGGCCTCCTGCTCCACTGCCATCCATTCCCATCCTGGTGGAACACACACACACACACACACACACACACACACACACACGTCACACATCTTGTCACAGTCACAGGAAAAGGGACTAGTGCATCATGGACGCACAAAGGAATGAATCTGTTAGACCACTATTATCTTCTCATTCATAGACTGTTACAAGAATGCTCTTACTTTTGAAAAGTTAATTACCTTAATTGCTAACATAAAGCTATGGAAAACTGAGATGTGTCAGAGTATGATGGTCCTTGAGCCATATTATGTCTCTCTCAGGTTCTGGAAGATTAGAGAGGTTTTGATATGAATAAGAAATATGCTTTTTAGCAACATTCATACCTAAGTGGAAATTTCTCACTTTGCACCAGATAGAACAGAGGAACTTGACGTTTGTTAAGCGTTCCATTTTCCCCCTTCATCTACAGCACTCAAATTAACTGACTTCTAGGTCTTTAAAGTAATTAATCTTGAAAGTGCTCAAATGGAGACAAATGAGAGAATTGTTTAAATGAAAGTACTGCTGTATAGGGGACAGTATTTTTGTTACACGTGTTTAGTTCCTGACACGTGGGCGCTTGGTACTCTTGTTAAGTCCAAGTTATTCTGAATGTAAGGAGTGTACCTTTTACAACTTGACCTTTAAATTTTAGACTTTAAAACCTCTGCCTACTGCAGATGCTGTTTATTAATAAAGAGACAAGAACAGTTGTCCTTTTGCAAACTTTGCTAAAGTAGGAAAGGAGTCTTTATTTAAGAGATGCTGAAGTGTCTTTACAATATGTTTAAAGTAAGAAAGAAAGGAACCAATAATAAACCTGTGACTAATTTAGGGATACCAGTGGGAAGGAACCAGAGTCACCAAGGAGGAGAATTCCAAACAGGGTTCTGTAAGAGTCAAGGTTATTGGGAGGGCAGCATTAGAACCACCCAGAGAGATGGGACTGGGATGAGGCTTAGCAGGACACAGGTGTGGGGACTCAAGTGTCTTCCATGACAATATTTTTGTTGAGTTACAGAAACATTTAGCACCATCACCCAAAATGGGTAGTGGGATGATGATGGAAGGTTCATACTGCCTTGAAGTATGTGGATATCAAAACCTAAACTTGCTTTCCTGGAGACAAAAGTCCCAAGTTAGACAGTGGTGACAGATGTTTCCAAACTGGGGCTATCTACAAAGATCTCCAACCCAAATATCAGTGGGTCAAAACACAGGAGTCCCTTAAAGGTGCCACTTATCAGTGGAGCTTGAAAATCAGTTGTATGTGGTCAGCTGGAAAGAGCCAGGGAAGGCTGCAGTGAGTTCCTGCTGAGGGGAAAACCCAGAGGAACATTCCACAGATATCTGCCATCCCAGAAGGCAGTCAAGAGACAAAAGAGGCAAGCTGTAGGACAACCAGGTTACACAGAGAAACCTTGTCTCAAAAAACCAGAAAGAGGTGGGAGAAGAGAGGCAAAAGAGGTGGTAGCAGCTGAATGGGAGGTGGGAGAGACATTACCTCTGACTCCACCTCAGACTCCAAGCCTTGGGGAACTTGGATGAGGTTGGGGCTACTGTGGAAAGGAAATCTCAGTGAGCAGAGAGCGTAAAAAGATCATAAACTCTTGAAAATATTCCCACACCCAAGCCCAGCGGCAGCAAATTATCAGTTGATTGTGTCACATATGAGGTTTGATTCTTTTAGCCAAGGGATGAAATAGTGATAATATTCCATGAAGGAGAACTTCCGTAAAGACAGTGGCACATGCCTTCATATCCCTCCCATCTAAGAATGGATAACCATCTACAGACTGTGGATTTTATTAAGAACCTGGGGATATATAATCCTTCTCCTAGACTGCTCCCCCCACTGCCTTCACACCAAAGTTGAGTCCCTTTGAAACCCAGATCCTAAGACTGCCACAGAGTTTTCCCAGGATCCCATTGCAGTTCCTCTTCTAAAGTGGCTTTCAGCTGTGATGTAATACCAAATTTAATCAACGTGTGAAAAGATACGTTTATCTTGACCTACAGCTTGGAGGGTTTCAACTCATGCCTGCTCGATGGATTGCTTTAGACATGTGGCAGGGCAGCGCCTGGCAGCAGCACTGAACGGCAGGGGCTTTTCCCTCGTGCTGTGACTGGGAGCAGAGAGAGGTGGGACGAAAGTGCTGGAGTTTCAATGGGTCACACCCCAGGGACCTAAGCTCCTCCTAGAAGGGCCCATCTCCTGACTCCCCACAGTGTCAGGGACTGGGGACTCCCTGGCTTTGGTAGACAGTCAAGATCCAGACTGTTGCACCTCTAAGACACAGACAGCTTTTATTTATCTTACATAGAATTGCTATGATTCTATTTTCTGCTATACAGAAAGTAAAATCTTGGTAAGTGACAACTGTATGCTTAATCTATCCTGTTTATCTTGGAAGATATATTGCTTATACAAAATAGATAATATGGATAATCAAGTAAAGAAAAACATATCAAAATTGTCTTAAAAATTCAACGATATATATTTTCATTGCAAAATTTCAAAATTGTTTACATTTCATTTTCTTTTTAAAGACAGCTGGCAGCTGAAACAAAACTTTTCTCCCAGGTGCTTGTCATGTGGAGAGAAATAATGTCGAGAGTACTGAACAAGCTAAATGCTTTGCATATAACTATCTCTACAGGAGTCATCAACGTTCTGAAAATTTGCAATACAAATCTTGAAAATATAAAGAAAAGTCTGGAGGTAAACTATGCCACCCAAAGTGTGGCCATACGGTGACGCACTGCAGAACCTGCCATCAGGGCAGACTTCCTCTCTGCGTCCCTGCTAGCAGCTTTTCTAATCCTCACTGCCATTTTTAGTTTAATGAAAATGCTATCACAAGAAAAAAAATGGGTGGACTAATCCAATAACCCTAGAGGACAGGACCAACTTTGACACATACCCACATCAAGTTGAAAACAGTCATAGCTGTCCCCCAGTACAGAATACGATGGTGCATCTGGAGCCCCAGAGCCGGCACAGGGAGCACTTCAGGCTTAATGAAAGCTAACAACTCGATTAGCCCTCCTGTTTCTTAAGGTTGGTACATGCAACGGAAGCTAGGGCAGAATGCCTTGATGTCTGTGAGCTGCACAGCAGAGCAGCAGGAGACCACAAGACAGAGAAGTTCCCAGGGAAGCAAGTTCTGCACACACTGGAGATCTAATGCTCACCCATAAGACATTTATGTGAACGTCTTCAACTGTGGGCACAATCCTTTGTCTATGGTTTTGCTTCTCCTGGTTCCTTACTCATGGTCAGCTGTGATTTGAAGATACTAAATAGGAAATCCTAGAAGTGATTGATGGGTCTTTAATTATGAACTGGTTTACATAGTGATGAAATCCCTCTCCATCCTGTTCAGGACATGACCTATCCCTTTGTCCCAGGTACATCCGTCCTGCATACTAAACAGCTCGTTGCCCTTCACGTATTAGATCAACTGCCATAGTTTCTAATGCTATCTCCTAGAAATATAAAAGGTTTATAGCTCCCCAGGATTTCAGGCTTCCAGAAGGGTCTCTTCTACAGATAAGAGTGGCTTCTTGGTAGATAATTGTGGTCCTGGCTGAAGGACAAGTGGTTATGTATCAAACAGCCCAGAAGCATCGGGAGTAAAGAGGAGTTGATAAACCGATCCTTAAGAGGCATCAGTATTAAGATTGGGATCTCTCAGTGATACCTGTGCTCAGCCCCATGGTGGTGGTGGTGGCGGTGGCAGCGGTGTGGCCAGGCCGTCCCAGTTGTTTCTTTGTTGTTAGCTCGCTTCTGTTTTCATTCCCCTCTATTTCCATTTTGCCTTACTAAAAAGTAGCCCAGCTTTCACGGAGCATGAGCTATCCTTTTGGCTGGACCTAGCGTGCACCTTTAATACTGTAGGCCAGGTGCAGGTGTGATCCCAGATGGCTGGAAACATGTTCTCAGCGGCATTTCTTTTGGCTTTCAACAGGATTACCTTGAAATTAAAAGAATGATTTTCCCAAGATTTTACTTTCTCAGCAATGCTGAGCTTCTTGACATTCTAGCTGACAGCAGGAATCCCCAGTCCGTGCAGGTAACGGCCTTGCCCTCACCCAGAATTGTTTCCTCACTCCGTCAGGGTTTGCCGTGTAACTGACAAGTGTGTTCTGGTTTGCAGCCTCATCTCGTGAAATGTTTTGAAAACATAAAACACATGCTACTATGGAAACAAGAAGTTGGCCCTCCGGCCGTGAAGATGCTCATCTCTGCTGAAGGAGAAGGCCTTGTGCTACCCAAGTACGAGGAACGCGCTGCAACCAACCCGTAAACTGTAGAGCCAGTGTCTTCAAAGATAATGTCCGTGTGTGAACATGCGCTCTCCCCCACCTCACCACAGTGGGCTCTCTGCTCACTTTGGCTCTAACATAAAGTCGGACGGAACAAAGGAAGTGTGCGGCCCTGGGCACTAATTCGCACTAGCTTTTGTTCCACACGAGTCTGACTTTTCAGCTAGGACAGAAATTTGGTATCTGGGGTTGGTTGGTGTTGTTCTGACCTAAGGCTTCACTGTGGTGGGTTCCCAGGCAAGTGTAGCAAGCCAAGGCCTTCTCTCTCACTGATCCAATTTACCAGCCTCAGAGAGTCCTTTTACCTCCGGCATCTGGCTCCTGAGACAAGCTTTACTGGGGGAAAACAGCACCCTGCCCAAGCTTTCCTACCAAACAAAGCCCCCAGTCCAATTTAAGTATTTGAAATCACCAAAACTATCTTTTTTAAATTTACATGCATTGGTATTTTGCTTGCATGTATATCTGTGTGATGGTGTCGGGTACCCTGGAGCTGGAGTTACAGACACTTGTGAGCTGCCATGTGGGTGCCAGAATTTGAACCCAGGTTCTCTAGAAGAGCAGCCAGTGGTCTTAACTGCTGAGCCATCTCTCCAGCCTCCCAAAAGTATCTTAAAATACAATATACCTCTCATACATCCTATGCTATGTGAAATCTAATTATAGTCTTGCTTTTGATATCAGAATTCCCTAAAGAAATATATTTTACTGAATGATTTTCCAAGTAAAAATCAATAAAAACCAGAAGATACAGTGTTACAGTTCTTGGTCCCAAAAGTAATATGTGTGTCAAAACTTATTTACAATTTTCTCAAAGAAATGAATGTTGATATCCATAATATATGGTAACTTTTGTAATATTTTTAAAAACTTTTAGGAAAATTCGTGTGAGAGCCGCTGTAGAGCAGTGGATGGTGAATGTTGAGAAGAGCATGTATGACGTGCTGAAAAAGTGAGTACAGCGCTCAGTCCCGATGCTCCGCAGTGCGTGTGCTGTGGGTGTGCGTGTGTGTGTGCGTGTGTGTGCCTGCGTGTGTGTGTGCGTGTGTGTGTGTGTGCCTGCGTGTGTGTGTGCGTGTACGTGTGTGTGCCTGCGTGTGTGTGTGCGTGTGTGTGTGTGCACACGTGTGTGTGTGCGTGTGTGTGTGTGTGCCTGTGTGTGCCTGTGTGTGCTGCGTGTGCTGTGGGTGTGCGTGTGTGTGTGTGTGTGCTGCATGTGTATGTGTGCTGCGTGTGCTGTGGGTATGCCTGTGTGTGTGTGCGTGTGTGTGTGTGCGTGTGTGTGCCTGCGTGTGTGTGTGTGCCTGCGTGTGTGTGCGTGTGTGTGCCTGTGTGTGTGCGTGTGTGTGCGTGTGCGTGTGTGTGCGTGTGTGTGTGCGTGTGTGTGTGTGCTGCGTGTGTGTGTGCATGTGTGTGTGTGCTGTGGGTGTGCGTGTGCGTGTGTGTGTGCGTGTGTGTGCCTGTGTGTGCTGCGTGTCCTGTGGGTGTGCTGCGTGTGCTGTGGGTATGCCTGTGTGTGTGTGCGTGTGTGTGTGTGCTGCGTGTGCTGTGGGTGTGCGTGAGAGTGTGCGTGTGTGTGCCTGTGTGTGTGTGCTGTGGGTATGCCTGTGTGTGTGTGCGTGTGTGTGTGTGCGTGTGTGTGTGTGTGCTGCGTGTGCTGTGGGTGTGCGTGAGAGTGTGCGTGTGTGTGCCTGTGTGTGTGTGCTGTGGGTATGCCTGTGTGTGTGTGCGTGTGTGTGTGTGCGTGTGTGTGCCTGTGTGTGTGTGCTGTGGGTATGCCTGTGTGTGTGTGCCTGTGTGTGTGTGCATGTGTGTGTGTGCGTGTGTGTGTGTGTGCGTGTGTGTGCTGCGTGTGCTGTGGGTATGCCTTGCGTGTCTGTGCGTGTGTGTGTGTGCCTGTGTGTGCGTGTGTGTGTGTGCGTGTGTGTGCATGTGTGTGTGTGCTGTGGGTATGCCTGTGCGTGTGTGTGCGTGTGTGTGTGTGTGCCTGTGTGTGCTGCGTGTGCGTGCGTGTGCGTGTGTGTGTGCTGCGTGTGCTGTGTGTGCTGTGGGTATGCGTGTGTGTGTGCGTGTGTGCGTGTGCTGTGGGTATGCCTGTGTGTGTGTGTGTGTGTGCTGCATGTGCTGTGGGTATGCCTGTGTGTGTGTGCTGCGTGTGTATGTGCTGTATGTATATTGCATGTGCTGTTTTGAGTGTTGTGTTGTGGAGGCCCAAAAATGTGACACTATTTTCATATTGACCAAAGGTCAGAGAGTTGGAACTTACCTCTAGTCCTTCCAGGTTATTGTGCTTCTACCTCAAACAAAGGTCCCACCTAAATTTAGATCAGAGAGTTCTGCTCTCTCAAGGTTATTATCAACAGGTGTAGCTATTTCAGGAATAGAGAAGTAGATATAGTTCTACCGCAAACAAAAGTCTAAGTTCCAGTTCCCTTAAGGAGATAAATTGGATTTTACCCAGGGAGTGGTTTGCCCACAGAATGTTTTGGTCTAGCGTGAGAGTGTGACTTGTTTTGTTCTAGCAACAGAATTTTTAACTATGGATGTAGCCGCAACCTTTAATTGGTCTGTTCATTTCCTTGTATCATGTTAATGCAGTTCTTTGTCTTACTGCTACCTTTTGGGGCCAGGGGTATTTTAAGCAGTTGGAAATTAAACACGAGAAATTTTTAGTATTCACTGGAACTCTTTCCCGGCACTATCCTATATGTTTCTATTTTATTATTTTTAAATGTGTCTTTGTATTCTTTACTATATTTCTAAATCCTAACACCCCTATGCTGTCAAGAGGTATTTTTGTAGAGGCTGGTCTCTGACAATGTATGTGTTGTGTGGGTGTGTTCTGTGTGTGTGTGTGTGTATGGGTGTGTGGTATGGATGTTGTGTGTGTGTTCAGTGTGTTGATGTGGTATATATATGTGCTGGAGTGTGTGTATAAAACTTGGCCAGCTACCAATATAACTGAAATATTCAGAGAAACACATGAAGTGAATTTTAATAGAGCATGGTGTATGAGTGATGAAAAACTCAAGTGTTTTTGAAGTGCAGATAGTAATCTGAATGCACACTCATAGACAACATGAAGACTGCTCTGTTCAGGTGGGGGGGGGGGGGCGGTGCATGCGCATGTTCCAGGGCATCCATCAGCCAGGGAAGTCATCTCCAGCCTGCTTTCAAAAACCATCGGGCTCACTAGTGTGTGCTTCCGTTGCACTTTTACTCCCTCACATTGTTGAGTCAGTTTAGACCAGGAGGAGAGAGCAGGGCTGGAGACAGAAGGGGCCTGTGCACACGAGGGTAGCACTGCCTAGTGACAGCCTTTGCTTAGTATCTGCAGTGTTCTCCTCTCTGTATTTTATTCTGTTGTTGCCGTCTCCTTGTAGGGGAGAAAGAATCCCAGAGGATGAACTTCTAAACTAATCTGACTGGAACAGTTGTGTTACATTTTTGATTTATTAAAAACCTTTTTCACCTAACATATTTTAATCATATTCTTTCCCAGCTCTTCCCCCGCACCGCCATCCCACCCAACGGCATGTTCTTCTCTTTTTATGGAAGAGCTACTTTATTCATATTTACTAACATTTGGAGAAGCAGTACATGGTTTCTAGAACACAACTGATCAGTGGCATCTGCTGAAGTCACTGGGAATGTGTTGTCTTCCCCTTGCCTCTCTCTGTTTCTGTCCTGGGTGATAGGAGACGTGGGGTAAACAGAAAGATATACTGCCCCCGTAAAAATTGTTTTTGAACATAGCCCTTTTTAGCTTTGTACCCTTTATAACATTGTAATTCAAAGCTAATATATGTCTTTCTTAAGTCACTATATGTTTCTACCCGCCCAGACCCTGCCAGGGAAAGGGAAGCGGAAATACTGTACATTACTTGTGAACATGTTAGCAGTAGCAGTGTTGCTGCTTCTTCATTAGGCGGCATCGCCATCAAGCATGGATGGATAATATAAATGTATTTTTTTTTGGCTTATAGATTTTTAATTCAAGGCATTGAAGACCAGAATGACAAGACTTTTCCTGAGTGGGTACTGTCACATCCAGGACAAGTGGTCATCACTGTGGTGAGTCAATGCCGCTTTGGACCATGAAGACAGGAGTTAGCCTATGGTTGCAGTGCTAAGAAAGTAAAAATATGAAAACTGAGTTATTTTAAGGGTAGTAATACATCCTGGTTATTTTGAAATGTATTTTAAAAATAAGATAAGTGTATTTATAGATACATAAATAATATCATAAACACAGTAGAATTATTGGTGGTTGATAAATTCTTCCTATAATGAATGAACAGGTATTCATTCTATAATTCCTTCACTTTCTTAGAGTTTAAAAATCTTCAGTTTATAATATAAAATAAAAATAACCCATAAATTATTTTCCTAAAAGTGTATATTTATATTGTACTATATACACGCCTATTGTTACCATTAAAAGTTACTCCAAACTTAGTGGCTTAAAACTACCAAATTTGTTAGTTAAAAGACTTACGGGTTAGAAGAACAGTGCAGGTCTCCCTGCTGAGGGCAAGCTGTAGGCAGGTGTGTGGAGGCTCTTAGATTGGGGGGTGTCCTAGAGAGAAGGTCACCAGCACACCTCAGTTGATGCCTCTTTCTGCATCTTCAGAGCTGGTCGTGTTGCATCTCTGCTCTTCTCCAGACATCCTTCTACAGTCCTGTCTCCTGTGCAGAGACAGGAAGAAATCTCTAGTTGTAAGGATGCATGTGACATCCAGAGGGAGCGCTCCATCTCAAGGTTCTTAGTCACATCCGTCTCCACAGGTTCTGGGGGTTAGGACATGAACAACCGTGTAGCCATTACTCTGCATATTTGTTAGTGTTGCTAGCATTTTCTTGGGGTTAAAAGAGAAAAAGGCTGCAGGGATTGCTCAGCAGTTAAGACAATGATTTCCTTGCAGAGGACCCAGGTACAGCTCCCAGCACCCAAGTTGTAGCTCACAACCTTCTGTAACTGCAGTTCCAGGGGATCAGACACTTCTTATGACCCCCGTGACCCCTGCATACATGTGGCACACATATGTATAAGCAGGCACATACATATACATATAAACAAATTTTTTAAAAGAAAATCAGAGAAATGTGATACTAAGAAAACCAAAATTTTCAGTTGTCCTAATATATGTTTGAAGCCTCCCTCAGCAAACTGTATGAAATAAGAGAAGATAGAGGAGCCCCAGGGGGAATAACATTTAAGGAATCAAAGAAAGACAATCCCGTGGCAAGTACTGGACCAGAGTGGGGTGGGGCAGAGCAGGAGGTAAGAGAGTAGCCGTGAAGTTAAGAAATGACTTTTAGTTTGTTTCTTTGTTCTTACACTAGAAAAATCGAATGGTCATAAGAAAGAGGGTACTCCTCATTTGTGAGGCCTTTGGAGATCTGGGTCATGGTTTGCAGGTGAAATGTGCCCCCACACCACTTGACCTACCTAGAGGTGCTAGGTGCCTGCCTAGAGGAAGCCGGTCACTAGGGACTGGAGTGTAAGGCAGACCTTGAAGTTTTATAGTCTCGGTGGGTGCCATGTTCTTTGTCTGTCTGAGAGCAGAGCAGCCTCCTGTTCCTGACAGCACCAGCTGAGAACTCTTCCCCCTCCCACACCATGCCTTTTCCTGACATGGCAGGCTGCACCCGCAAACCCCGAGCCAGCATAAGCCCTTTCTCAGTAGGTTGCTGCTTGTCAGGGACTTTGTCATGACAATGTGTTATTTTTAACAAAAGCTCAGTCGTTCAATTTTACTAATAGAGACTTGAGACCCAGATGCTGGGGTGAAAACCTGCTATCTCAGAGAGGCAAAAGAAGCACCCAGTTGACCTTTGTCCTCCACCATCCCCAAAGCCTCCTCTCTCCTACCTTCTCAATCAAGTCCTCTCTCACTCCATGCCCCTACCCTCCACTTCCTGTGTGTATCTCTCTCCATTCTCCCCACTCCTCTTACTCGCTATGCTTTTTTCTTATTAATAATCAAATATCTTGTAACAACAACGAAAATGCCACTAATACAATCTGAAACTGACAATCACTTGTCAGTCAGCAGGATCAATGTGAACTTTGGAGACTGGTTTATCTGGAAAGAGGAAGGTAGAAAACCTTTGCCATAGCAACCGCTAAGGATCACAGAAAGCTCTTATTTTTAAAAAGTCCCCATTTTTTCACTTTGCCTGACCTGCCACAATTTTCAAGTTTTCACTAAGGTCACCTGGGGCTGTAAACAGACATTTTGCTCTCCAGTTGACTAAGTGAATGCCAGGTCTTAGGCTGAATGGCTATCAGCTGTTTCTATGAAAGTGACAAAGTTACAGGTGATTCTATACTTTTCTGTAGTTTGGCAAATTTAGATTCTCCAGTTTGCCTTAAGAGAAGCTCCTCCCGGGTTCCTGGAGGCACGTGCTTCACGACAGCAGCGCACATGTTCCCCCACCTCCATCTCCTCACCTCTTGCTCATTTACCACCCTGGGGCATAATTTACAGCTCTCTTGAATTTACACTGTTGAACTCTCCACAGAGTTGTCTCTAAATAAACATAAAAAGATATTTTTGAGAGAATGGATGAGATAGCGCTATATATTGGCCATGAAGAGATTTTCTATATAGATTTGTCCATAATATAGCAATTAGTAATTTCTCTGCAAATAAGTGTGTCACCTGTTACAGGTGGTGGACCTTGGAGAATGAAGCAGATAAATGAAGCAGACTAAAGTCTCATGCAATAACCAACTTTGTTTAGAAGCCCCAGACAGTCTATACTCCGAGGGTTAGGAAAGGTCACAGCAGTAAAGTTCTCAGGTGTTCAAGCTGGCTACAACCACACGGGCACGTCATGCATGGGGGGGGGACACGTTTAATTGAGTATCAGCATCAAGCGATAACAAGTGATGTGAGGTAAATTCCCTCCTGTCCACTACACCTGGGAGGAGCACGAAGAAACATTCCAAGAACAATTCTGCGTTTTGAAGAAACTGAGTCACAAGACTCTTGCCTTATTTTCTTGCGTATTCTCTCACACTCAGAATCCTCCTCGCACAACTCTGCTTCTGGATCATGCTCCAACATACACATTTAAGTGGAAAATGTTTTTAAATGCGATCCACAGTATTCCCTCACAATGGATGCTCTCACTGGAGGCTGTAATTCATGAATCACCTCAAGATGTGCACAGTGGAAATGTTGACTGTAGTTATTTGTCCTGCCTGCTTCCCAAGCCTCGGACTCCAGCCACTCAGTGAGCTAGTGATGGAGTTAGTTTCTAGATCATCTCCCCAGGGAACCAGTGTCAAATGGTCAGCCCTGAAAACATGCAAGCAATAGTATGCAAATTGAGCAGATTTTATTTGTGTGTTTAGGAATGTATATGTATATAACAATGACTAATAAAAAAAAGAGGCCATGACTTTGAAATAGCGCTAGCAAGGGCATAAGGGGAATTTGGAGGGAAATGATGCAATTATATCATAAACTCACAAATTTAAAGAAATCATTTGTTATTTTAAATTTTTTATTTATTTTACATGCCAGCCTCAGTTCCCCCTGTGTACCCTATTTTTTAATAGTTTCTGTTGCATGCAAAAAAGGAATGCTGGGAGTGGGTCTGGGACCTCCGAGTGAGTGGGCCTAAGCCAGAGACCTCCGTGGCAGTGGACCCAGACTGGGGGCACTTGTGGGGGCAGTTTTGGACCTGTGACCTGGACCAGAGCAGGACTGGGGCAGTAGGCTCCACAGGAGCAGGTGAGGGAGGCCCTGAGAGAGAGGGCCTAGACCAGGGCCTCTGCAGGTCGTGAGTTTGGGGCCTCTGAAATGCTAGGCCTGAGCCAGGACCTCTGCTGGTCCAGGCGCACCTAGGCAGGAGCAGGCCTGAGACAGCGAGCTCCACAGGAGGAGAAACAAGGGAGCAGCCACTGAGGGAGTAGGCCAAAACTAGAGACCTCTGTGGGTGGGGCGTGAGTCTAGGACCACCAAGGGAGTGGGCAGGAACCAGAGACCTCTGTGGGTTCAGACACTCTGGGACCTCCCAGGGAGTGGTTGGGGCCAGGGACCTCTGCCCATCGGGGCATAAACCCCGAGCCATAAAAACAGACAAGAGGACTAATGGAACAGAATCGAAGACCTAGATATCAATCCACACATCTGGCTTTGACAAAGAAACAAAAAATATAAAATGGAAAAAAGGAGACATATTTACCAAATGGTGCTGGCATAACTGGATTTCAACATGTAGAAGAATGAAAATAGATACATATCTATCACCAGGCACAAAACTCAAGTCCAAATGGATCAAAGACCTCAACATAAAGCCAGCCACACTGAACCTCATAGAAGAGAAAGTGGGAAGTACAGTTGAATGCATTGGCATAGGAGACCACTTCCTAAATATAACCCCAGTAGCACAGACAGTAAGAGAAACAATTAATAAATGGGACCTCCTGAAACTGAGAAGCTTCTGTAAAGCAAAGGACATGGTCAACAAGACAAAACAACAGCCTACAGAATGGGAAAAAAGATCTTCACCAACCCCACATCAGACACAGGAATGATCTCCAAAATATACAAAGAACTCAAGAAATTGGTCATCAAAAGAACAACTAATCCAATAAAAAAAAGAATGGAGTACAGACCTAAATAGAGAACTCTCAACAGAAGAATCTAAAATGGCTGAAAGGCCAAGATCAAAAACACTGATGACAACTTATGCTGGAGAGGTTTTGGGGTAAAGGGAACACTTCTGCATTGCTGGTGGGAATGCAAGCTGGTACAGTCGCTTTGGATTTCAGTATGGTGATTTCTCAGAAAATTAGGAAACAACCTTCCTCCAGACCCAGCAATACCACTTTTGGGTATATACCCTAAGGATGCTCAATCATATGACAAGGACATGTCTAGCATATGCGAGCCAGTAAAGGGGCTGGAGATTTAAACACATACACACAGAGACATGGGGACACGGATCATTCTTGAAACAAGAATGACCCTTTTATTGTGTTCAGAGGCAGCTTATATAGGGATCCTTAACTGATTGCCATGCCCCAGCCAAAACCACCAGAAACCATTCCCCTGCCATCAGGAACTTCTGAGGGTCCCATGCTCAGAGCAGCCGCAAACACAGGAAAACAAGTTGTTTTGCTCCAATCAGCTGCAAGCATAACAAGTTGTTTACAAGAAATTCAGGGTCTGGGGGTCAACAGCCCCCAACAGACATGTGTTCAACTCTGTTCATAGCAGCATTGTTTGTCATAGCCAGAACCTGGAAACAACCTAAATGCCCCTTGACCGAAGAATGGATAAGGAAAATGTGACATATTTACACAATGGAGTACTACACAGCAGAAAAAAATAATGACATCTTGAAATTTGTGGGCAAATGGGTGGAGCTAGAAAACATCATATTGAGTGAGGTAACCCAGAACCCAGAAAGACAATTATCATATGTAGTCACTCTCGTAAGTGGTTTTTAGACATAAAGCAAAGAAAACCAGCCTACAAATGACAATACCAGAGAACCTAGACAACAATGAGGACCCTAAGAGAGACACACATGGTTCTAATCTACATGGGAAGTAGAAAAAGACAAGATCTCCTGAGTAAATTGGGAGTATGAGGACCAGGGCAGAGGGTAGAAGGGTAGGGAAGAGGAAAGGAGAGGAGCAGAGAAAAATGTATAATTCAATAAAATCAATTAAAAAACAAAAAAAGAGAAATGCCAATTAATACAATAGGTGTCTATCATCTACCCTCTTAATCTTTCTCTGGAAAAATATCACCACAATATATATTTCCTCTATGCTAATTCTTCCCATTTCATATATCTGTATAGCTCCATTTCTGTGTTATTAAGCAGTTTAAATTTAGCATAACTCAAGTGAGTTCATGATGCCCCTAATCCAAACACGGCCTCTTCCAAAGACACTGTCTAGACGAGAGGCTGAAGTCACAATAGACCTGATTTTCCACATTCAGGAACTTTGCTGATGGCTTGTCTTTCTTTAACCTCCACTATAGTGTAGATTATCTGTGTTTTAGTAAATAAAGCTTGCCTGACGATCAGTGCAAAGCAGCCACACTAGTCATCCATACAGGCCAGGCAGTGGTGGCACATTCCTTTAATCTCAGTAGCCACACTAGTTAGCCATAGAGACCGGGTGGTGGTAATGTATGCCTTTAATCTCACCACTAGAGAGGAATATAAAACGAGAGGAGACAGGTCTCAGGTTCAGTCTTAATCTGAGGATTTGTGGCGGCAGGATGTCCCACTTTTGGCCTGAGGGAAAGAAGAGCCAGTGACTGGCTGCTCTGCTTTTCTGATCTTCTGTCTCTGGGTTTTTAGTGTTGGTGCTACTCTCCACAGGCTGCCTGCTCTTAACCCCACCTCTTCACGGCTCTTCTATGTCTGGGGAGAACATATGTGACAGTTGAGTCAGATATTAGAAGTTACAGAATTTTTTAAAACTACAAATATCCACACTCTGTACTAGGAGCATAACTTTAGAGTTTAGTGGAGAAGACAGCACTAATTTAATCTTGGGATTTTCCATCATTGTTAATGATGCTGAGATTATTATCTAATGATCATGTGTTAATGTAAGATTTATTTCCTGGAACATGGACAACAAATTACAAATACTGCTAAAGAAAGTGACGCCCTTCCTTGCAGTCCCCGTTGGCTGTCAGGAGTCCCTCGGGGAGGGATGGGGCCATGTGAGCCCTTCCCCCTTCCACAATGTTTATGAGCCCAGTGTCATGGGGGTTCCATGCAGTGACACAGTGAGTCATGAGCACACACCTCCCCAGCCTGTGGCTCTTGCATTGTCTGCACACCTCCTTCCTTGATGTGCCTGAGCCGTGGAGGGGGTAAAGTAGATGACCCGCTTAGGCCTGAACCCTCCACCCTTTCTCCATGCAAGCAGCCCTAATTAAATCCAGCAGGATTTACAGGCATGCCATCGTGAAAGGAGGATGGGGCTTCAGAGGAAGAAGGAGGGGCTTCAACTGGAACGGACTAGAGAGAGGCCACTGGGAGGTGGAGTGTATATAATTGACTACGTACATATATGAAATCATCAAAAATACAACAAATTTTAAAAGCATAAGATTTAGAAAATATAAATAAATCATAAGCATCAATCAAAATTCAGCCTTCAAACCTATGCATGCCTTCCTTTGGAACAAATCACCTCTATAGATCTGTAACATTCAACTCATGAAAACCTTTTAATTAAAAACAAGATTGGGTGCTTCTATTAACATGTGTTTCCCTCCCTTTATTTTTCAGAGCCAGATCATGTTTAATAGTTATTGTCTGAAAGGTTTTATGAGTTCTAATCCAAGAGAAAAGCTAGAAGCAGCCCATGCCCATGTGCTGAGTCAAATGGAAGACTTGACCGCCCTGGTCACCCTGAATACTAGCAACTTTCGCGCAAAAGTCATGCTAGCAGCAATGCTGACCATATCTGTGTACTGCCGAGACATCGTGAGGGACCTGCTAGATAAGAACATCTCTAGCGCAGAGGACTTTGACTGGACGAGGTAAGAAGCTAAAAACTGTAACCACCTACTACAACTTCTCCCATAAAGACCATTAGGTTCTCTGCTTCACACATCTCTGTCTCAGTTTGCACTTGAAGGATGAATCGCTCCCTAAGCATTGTGGTCCTCCCCCAGCTTCCTTGGTCCTCTCTCCTCCCCTCACTCTGCCTCATCTTCCCAAGCTGATGTCGTTCTTCGGTATGGTATGGGTGTTTTGTCTGTTATCACTAAGCCTAGGGACAGGTTTCAACAGTAGTGATGAGAGGTGTCCCTGGTCCCTCTTTTCCTCCTGTGCTACCAGTGTGGGGCAAACGAGGTAAAAGAAACAGAAGGCCGTTTCTAGACAGCTTGCCATGAGCCACTTTTCCTGCTGCTTGGAATCAGTTAGTGAAGGCATAGACAGAGAGCTGCTACTTCTGCTGAGGTGAGGCTAAGCATAGGTCTCCTACATTGAGTGAGAAAGTCTTCTGGTTTTACTTACAGTTATGTGCTCTCTCATCTAAGAATTTACAAGGTGTTAGCATACAACTAGTTTTAAATGGCTTTTATCTTAAATTTTATTTTGAAAATTGACTTGGTTAATTTCTTCACAATCTGCTCTGCTGTTCCAGAAGGAATTTAGAGGTGAATGATGATACACAACAGCTGCGTCATAGGATAACGTGTAATAGGAGAAGGGCCCTCGGAGGGGGCTGAAGGATTCTGGGTTTCATCAGGTCCCGCTTGTGTTCAAAGCGAAATAGCTCTAAACTATTAAAGATGTGTAAAGATTACTATATTATAAATTTGTACCTCATGGTTTCTAAAATCTAATACAGTCATGAGTAAATTTTATTTTTCCACTTATTTTAATACTTTGATTTGTTTGCTTGCTTAATATTTTTATACAATATATTTTCATCATATTATTTGCCTTCCCCCAGATCTTCCCCATGTCCCCACCCACCTAACTTATGTTCTCTCTCTCTCTCTCTCTCTCTCTCTCTCTCTCTCTCTGTCTCAAAAGAGCAAAAATAAAAACAGAGAACCAAACAAAAAACAATAATACAAAAAATTAACAAAACAAAAAACTCACAAAATTATGGTTTTTGTTTTGTGTTAGCCAATAATTCCCGTGCCCTGGAATGTGGCTGATGTACCTACCCAGTATCATTCCACTGGAGAAAACTGATTTTCCCTTTCTTAGAGGTGCCAATCACAAAAAGGTTCTTGCTTAGGGGTGGAACTTTGTGTCTGTGCATGCTGTCTCAGTCTCTGTGTTCATATGAGCATGAACCATGTTGTTTCTGGAAGGCAGTTTCCTGGGAGTCACCCACCACCGCTGGTTCCTGCAATCTGTCCACCTCTTCTACCTACTTTCCAAGAATTGAAGTGAGAGGTTTGAGAAAGACATTGACTGTAGGGCAGAGTCTCCAGAGTCACTTACTCTCTATATACGTTGTGCAGTTGTGAGTCTCTGTGTTAATCACCATCTACCCAAATAAGAAACTTTTCTGCCGGGAGATGGTGGCGCATGCCTTTAACCTCGGGATTCAGAGGCAGGCGGATCTCTGTGAGTTCTTGTAGACAACCTGTTCTGCAAGAGCTAGTTCCAGGACAGGCTCCAAAGCTACAGAGAAACCCTGTCTCAAAAGAAAAGAAAAGAAAAGAAAAGAAAAGAAAAGAAAAGAAAAGAAAAGAAAGCTTCTCTGATCAGGAAGACATGGATGAGCAAATATCTCCGTAGTAAGATGTTGAGTCCTTTGGGGAAATGCCAAGTGTTGTTCAGCTAGATCTTGTAGTAAATGAATTTTCAGCTTTTTGAGGAAAATCCACGCTGACTTCTATTTTGGCCAAACCAGTTTGCACTCCCACCAGCAGTAAATAAGTTTTCCCATTCCCCGCGGCCTCCCCAGCATATGCTGTCATTTGCTTTATTAATCTGATTTTGAACATTTGAGAACTTGCTGTTTAGTTCTATATCCCATTTTTTTAATTTTTTTCACATTCAGTCTTGTTTTAGTTCTTTGCCTATTCTAGATATTAACTCTCTGTCAGATGTATAATTGATAAAGAATTTTCCCCATTCTGTAAGCTGCCACTTTGCTCAAATGTAGTAATAGGGAGCGGCGGGGCTGCGTCCCCAGCACCCCGGCTGCCTGCTCGGCTAGCTTATGCCCCAAAATAATTACACAGACACTGTATTCTTTTACACACTGCTTGGCCCTTTAGCTCTAGCACTTACAGGCTAATTCTCACATCCCGATCAACCCATCTCTAATAATCTATGAGAACCGGTCTTACCGGGAAGATTCTAGCCTAGTCCATCCTGGGTCGGAGCTTCATGGCGTGTGTCTGCCCAGGAGTGGGGTATGGCGTCTCTCTGAGGCATCTGCTCCCGAGAGAAGAGCTGTGGAGTCTGAGCTCACTTCCTCTTCCTCCCAGCGTTCTATTCTGTTTACTCCTCCCACCTATCTTCTAACCAATAAAATGGGCCAAGGCAGTTCCTTTATTAGCCAATGACCTTCCTCCATCATTTCCCCTTTTTCGGTTTAAACAAAAAAAAAAAAAGGCTTTAACTTTAACATAGCAAAATTACATATAACAAAACAGTTATCAAGTAAAAGTTATAATAATCTTTATCATAACTAAGGAAAACTATAACTATAACTAACTATTCTTAACTCCATCAAAGACTCCAGAAAGATACAATACTACCTAAGCAAACAAGAAAAAAGCAACTTTTAAAACTCTAGAAATGACAGAGACATCTCGCTGCCTGGACAGTCACCCAAAGTTCCTCTGTACCGTTGGGGCATCCATCTTCAGCCTTCAGGCCCATGGTATCCAGAGACATTTCCATAAAGCAAGAAAATTCAAAGTCAGTTTAGTCACTATCTGTTGTGTCCTGCAGAATGTCTCACAGACTTTTCATGAATCAGGAACCCCGAAAGATCATCTCACCTTAGGCAACTTCAGTAGTCCTCTCTCTGCGGGTTCTCTGTGTCCAGTTTATGCAATAGTCCAGGCAAGAGCAGTTTCTTGCCCAAATGGCTATCAAACTCCATAACGAGCCTCTTCGATGCCCATCTTCCTCTTGAAGTAGATTGGTGCTGCCAGGAGCAGAGTGTCTCATTGTCATGAAAAGTCCTAAGTTATTAAAACATTTAAAATGCCATATTCTATAGTCTTTGAAAGATATGAAGAATGCCTATCTAAAATCTATCTATGTACATCTAGAAAATCTTAACTAACATGACTACAAACTTGACTATTATGATTATCTATTAACAATCTATATTTCTAATTATATATTACATTTTTAAATGAACTACACAATCACAGTTCCTTAATCAAGATCAGAAACACATATACATATAACAAAATTGACCATAAATCTCTATCAATAAAGCAAAATCTATACTAATGCAAATTATTCATACCTATATCATATCCCCCTTTAAATGTAAAAAGGATGTTTATAAACATTTTTTGGGAATATGGGCGCAGTTATTTCTCTCCAAACTGCTTCCTGCTGAATGGGGGCGTCGTTAATTAGGTCTTTCACGGTATAACCTGTGTGCTAGTTTCATCTCAGTTGGCAGTTGAGCGAAGCAATTTTCTGAAGATGTTCACAACAACCCTTCAGGAGGGTGTGGTCCATCATACCATATCGGGATAAATGCAATCCACAAGGTCTGATCCTCTGTGAAAACAAAAGAAGAAACTCCTTTCCAAAGCATCATGTCCTTAGATCCAAATTTCAAAGTCAAGGCATCAAAATATCTATGTTGGATTAGTTCAGCAGCATTTATAAATAAATATCTTTTAGCAGCTGTTGCTCCTTCCTCAGCATTCAAACAATTCAAAGAGAGCATAATAGCATACAGTATCAAAATTCTCTGTTTATTTTCCATCTTTGTGCAGCTTTGTTTTGACCTCTATTTTGTTTATTTTTACTTTTAACTCTTTGCTTTTTGAGACAGGTTCTCTGTATCTTTGACCTAAAGTAACTCTGTAGACCAGGCTGTCTTTGAACTCTCAGAGATCCGCCTGTCTCTGCCTCCCAGGCATTCAGGATTAAAGGTGTACACTACTACACCTTGAACTCACAGAGATCTGTTAGTTCTGCCTTCTAGGCACTGGGATTAAAGGCGTGTGCCACCACACCTTGAAGTCACAGAGGTCAATCTCCCTCTGCCTTTCAAGTGTTGGGATTAAAGGTGTGTACTACCACACACAACAATTCTCTTCCTTTTTTTTTTACTTTAAGAACTTTAACTTTTAGCTTGCATATATTTTTAACACACAGTAAACCATTTAGAATTTTTTTTTTGTCTTTGAATCTCTTTTTACTGTATATCTCTCTTTTTTTGACCACAAGAGCCTTTAATTTACCAAGCAATCTCAGTAGGACTAAAGCCGTCGCTTTGCCAGCTAGATCCAGTCCATTCCTTAGCTTTTCAGCCTCATGGCGGATATACAGGCTGCAGTCATGTTTATAGCCACAACTCTATGGCGTTTTAAGGTCCCTGCCAGCAAGCGAGCTTTAGCAGCCTGTGCTTGCAAACTGCACGAACCGCCTGTATAAAAGAGTCAGAGTTTGCCCTGGCAGGACAGTCCAGAAAGCCGGCATTTTTAAACAGTGCAGCTTTTTTCCTGCTACGGCTGAAAACCGAAAAGCACGCGTTCAGCTTTTCGTCAACACCATTTAAGTGTTTTGTGGCAGGACCTCTTAATGAGCTGCAGGGTTTTGCAGCTAAAGCTGAGTCAGGAAGCCTCTATTAAATTGCAGCTACCAAGAAAACATGTTCTTCTCTTTCCCAAGCTTTCTCAGGCTTTCAGTGGATTCAGTTGCCCCACGTTGGGCGCCACTCAAATACTGGTGTCCTTCACTATACAGAAGCCTTTTAGCTTCGTGAGGCCTTATTTAGCAACTGTTGGCTTTGGTGCCTGGGCTTTCAGTGTCCTGTTGAGAAAGTCCCTTCCTATGCCTATGAGCTCAAGGGAATGCCTTCTTG